GGACTTTCTGGGGAACCTATCTCAAAATGATGTCCACCACCAACTCCTCCGTGGAAAATCGGGGACCCAAATTTCAGATATTTTTCGACCAATCAGCAGTTTGGATCTCAGTCGGTACAAAACATGTAGCAGAAGCAGAAACTGAACAAGGAAACATCTTTAAAAAGCGCTTCACAGACTTTATTTTTTTACACATTTTTTTTACACATTTCTTTTTTCCAGGCACACATTCCCACTGAAAATGGCTCTGCAGCCCATCTCTGGGTCCCGACCCACCAGTTGAGAACCACTGCTTCGCTTTGCAAAATCATTGATTGGGGTGTACTCTCTATTTCCAACAGCAACTCATGTATCTTCTCCTTCTCCACTGAGAGGCCCCACTCCTCTGTTTGCATTGTACCCCCCCCACACCCCCCCACACACAGCCATTGTCAGCTGCCACCTCTTGTCATGCAAGTTAAAGCCTGGCCTGGTCCGGTCATTAAGTAATAGTAGATATCTGCTTAATCGTGCAGCTCTATTTAACAAGCTTTGGTCTCACACAGTTAACCCTGCCTCCACTGTTGGCTCGTGAGCTTCAACCTGGGGCTTAGACTTAGCCACTTATACCAGTCGCTGCATGCCTCCATGTCATTACATTAAAGCATGCCTGTAACTTAAGCCTTAAGAGGTTTAAAGACTGATTTCATTTAATTATCGTCATTGTTATGCCATTCAGCTGAGCGTCAGAATACCATGCAGGGGGAAAAGACTGATTTTCATGATGTAACACGTCTATTTTCTTGTTTTGAAAGCTTAATGAGCTTGGCAACAGTGGCGCTCAAAGTTGTTTCTGCAGATATAAACCACAGCCGAAGCCACTCCCTCCCACTTTGATCGTCTGTCACCGCTCTGACAATAAATGATAGCTGCGTTATGTTTGTCGTAGTGAAGTCATCTTCCCAGCAGGCAGGTTCAACAAGTCCTCAGCTCCGCCTGAGCCCCATCCCCTCAATGTGTACCGACCACTTAAAGCAAACTTTTGCGAAGTTTTGCACTGTGCAAATAAGCTGGCTACAGTATACACACTGTAGCCAGTACGGTCACATGATGAACTGTGTGAGGATTTCTCAATCCCCATCCATTCTGTGCATGAGAAAACACATACTATGGACACAAACACACTTTAAAAGCAGTTGTTTTGAGCTGTTTTTTTCTTTTTGCAGATATTTGCAAGAACAGGACGGCCTATGTGGAGATAAGCCGGGGTCTTAAACTGATTAAACTACCTCGAGAGGACCACTCAGTCTTTATGCAACCAGCTTCCAGGTAATATGCAATCCAGGATCAGCCACTATGGCTTAAAGCCTCTGGGAATGTGGCATGAAAAATGACAAAACCTTACATAATACTATGGATAAGAGTGTCATTAGGAATGTCAAACAATCTGAGTGAAAACAAACCTCTATAAATATTACAAATCCTAGTTTAACAACTGCACGTTTTGTTGCTTTGACCATTTCTCAAGACCATGGCGGTATGGCCAATAGGGTTGCAACGAAATATTGATACTACTACTATGATTTGGTAGCCTTAATTAACCAAATAATTGGCTAATGAACTGCACAATAACTTTCTGCCTTCTCATCAAATGTCACTAACGTGTTTCAATGAAAAGTAAAATCAGCAATAAAAATATTGTACACAATAATTTTCTTTGGCAGCATTGAGGATAAATACATTAAGACTTTAGATGTTTTAGGACACTATGGCTGCAACCAATGTGCTTTGTTATTTTCGTTTTTTTACCTGACGCTTCCTAGTCGCTGTTTTGCATGCCTTACTCTCAGCAGAAATAGTCAGAATGAGAGATGGCTCACTTCTCAGCAACTCGGCGTCAGAAAAGGAATTTATGTCTGGGAACATCAAGAAAAACTTGTTTTTCATCATCTAGATTTGCTAATAATGTCGACAAATCGTTGCACCTCTGGTGGCCAATCACATTTTGATTGACATCTGCCTTGCACCACAAGCCAAAACTGTGACAATCAGCGTTGCCGTACCCTACGAAATTTGTTCGAGTCATCCAAGTTGGAATCAGAATCTTTCCCATCTGAAAATATTTAATATGTCACAAAATACTTTGGTATTCATATTACAGTTAGAAGTTATCATACATGCTAAATGAACGCTCTGTAGTGTTAGCTAGTGCTATACAGTGTTAAACCCCCCCTGCAAACTTTTCACATCCGCCACATGAAAATAGATCATCTACAGCACACATTTAAGACCTTTACCTGAAAATTAACAATTGTAGTTGATATTTTTTAAGCAGCCATCATTAGCCTACTTGAGGAGGATGTAATAGTCTAAACAGCTAAATAACTAACATGTTACTTTTTCCCGTGATTGATATAGGACTAATACACCCGAATCAAATCCCAAATCACATTTACAAATCCAATCCAAATATGTTGCACATGTAAAAACAGCTGACCAATGTGCAACAACCGAAAATAAAAACCAACAAAGACAACAGGAAAACAGTAAAACATGTTAGGACTTCTAGAAAAGGTAGACCATTTGGAAAGGGAAAACATATTTGGTTTTGAACAGGCTGCGGTACGTTTGGGTTTCCAAAGGCAACTAACAACAATTAAATCTCTGAGACAAGCTTGAGCCTCTTCCATTAAATTCACAGCGTCTCCTGTGTAGTACTAAATAAGCATACCCACATATATATCAGAGCTAGCTTGGCTAATTTGGATTTTAAACAGCTGAGAGAATGAACAGTCACACCCGACGTGAGGTGTCTGAGCACGTGCATGGTGAGACTTGTCAACATCGGTCTTGACAAACTATTTTGCCAGTTGGTAGCTGTTACAACATGCCACGAGGGCTTAGCGTCCTAGAGAGGGAAAGTCAATGTGTGAATGCCTCGCTGCTAATTACAACTCAGGTTTTTCCATGATTATCCTGTAAACCCTAACTATAGATTATTAGTAAAAGTTAAGAGCTTGAAGTCTCTCACCCAGACGAGTATCCACTGTACCTCTCTGGGTGTGTTTCAGAATATTAACTGGTTTTAAATACCAGAGAGGGACATTCATTGTGCCGACATCAGGTATCTGTCATTTCAGTTCCTATAACCACAACATAAAAACATCCAGCTTTGCATGAATGCTGTCCAAACTTAAAATGTCATTTTGCATATAAGTACTCTTTTAAAAAGTGTTGAGCAGAGATTTTAGCTTTTAGATATTGGTCAGAATTTGTAGAATAATTGATATTTGATTACAAACATTACTATTGCTTTTATTGTTATTTGTACTGCTCAATAAGTTCATGACTTAAGTCTAATGGTTAAAGCTTGAAAAAACTGGTAAAGAACTGCACATTTCTCTTAGTCATCCTGCGCTGAAACAAAAATGAAAATGTCTCAGCTTTTTGTTATATGAAGTCAGAAGCCATTTTGACATATATGCATTCCTGAACATTTCTAGAGAATTTCAGGAAGACTGAAATCCTGAAATCATCCTGACCGGGCTGTTCACACATGCACCTCACATCGGGAGGCTATCCATGTCAAACATGGGTAACAGGACGTGCAGTAACAGGATGACTAAGCAACAGAGTCTGCTGTACGACACTATAATGAGCATATTTTCCTTTATGTCAAAAGCAAGCAATTTATCTGAGAATAAAATCAAAAACCCTTAAATCAAAAAGCCCACGTTAGTTACATTACTAACAACTTATCCATATCACTGGATAGTTTCTCTTTGTCTAGTAAAGGTACACGTTATCCTTAAGGTCACACCAGAAAACAAAAAGGTGATACACGTATAAAAACAAAAGAAAAATAAAGAGTCAAAATGTGTCCTGCATGAGTAATCAGTGTTTTTGATTGGCATCAAAATAGGGATTTTCCCCCTCATCCACATGTGATACAGAACAAGGAAGCTATCTACAAACACACACACACACACACACACACACACACACACACACACACAAAATGATAATGCACTTTTGTGAACAAGTATACATTAGTGGCAGTGTGAGGCACAATCAGCAAACAAAAGCATGGAAAAGACGGATAAAGGGACCACATGAATGCAACAATACTGCCATTATCTGCGATTTCATAACCATTAGGGGGTCTCTGAATGAGAAGGACACAGAGGGACACTGGTTTCCCATTATGCCACTGTCACTGTGCCACCTCACCAGCTGGGTGGGAGCGGCCTACTTCGGCACAAAAGCACATCTAGCCCATCCATGCACTCTGGAGGAAAAGAAACCCTGATTCTGTCTAATTCTCTGCAAAATTAAACAGGTCTGGATAGATTGTTACAGGCGATTTGAATCCATCGAGCTGTGTCTGGGATGTCTGTAAACAAAGAGCAGACTTGTCAATGTTACAGGAGCTGCTGCACTAAACGCTCTGCTGGCCTTTCCTTAAAACCTGGCTGTCAGTAAAGCTCTTCTTTCATTGATTAACTGTCTTTTCTGCAGGAGAGGCTTTGAGGAAAGGAGAGGCTTTCTGAGACACACACGAACTGATTGTTTCTCCCCCCCCCCTCCTCTTTCCTCTTTCTTTCTTTCTCTGCTACAAAAGATGATATCATCTCCTCCACAGTGTGCTGCACAAGACGGCCCATATGCATGCACCTGCCAAAAGGGTGTGATGCTTCTTGGTGCTGTGCAGAGATAGAAAATACACAGATCATCACACTCTGTCAAAGTGCTAATCCCACCGGGTGTGAGCCACAAACACACCGAAAATCTGCAGGTAAAAGTCGGTAGCAGTACCCAGAGGTATACCCGGCTGCAATTGGGTCGCCGGGCTTAAAAGGAAATGAGGCTGATAATTTATAAATTAAGTGTGTGTGAATCAGCAGATGCTGCTGCTGACCTGCAGGTGTTTGCTAGGCCCGCGGCGCCGACTGACAGGTGGCACCGGGCAATTATGACACAAGCTACGCATTTGCAAAATAAAACACATTTTAGTGACTTACCTTAGGGCCACACGGACCGTGCTTTCATCCTGTCCCGTCGTCATGATTCCCTCTTCAGTAGTCGATGACAAAGGAACAAAAATTCACTGTTTCGGCTGCTCGTCCTCGCAAAAGAGCGAGATAAAAGTGCGCACAGTCTCCTCAGGCAGGCGAGCTGACCGAGCAACGGAGCTGCTCACCTCGACTTCAACGTCGCCATTTCAAAACAAACATTAAAAATTATCTCAGCGGTGTTTGAACCATGACTTCAGCGAAAAGGTGAGCCGGTGTTGTCCGCATGTCGCGTCTACGTGCGCCGCATCTCTGCGCAGTACGACTCGGATGCTTCAGCTCCGCTGGCTCGAGCCCTCATGCATACTCACATCTACCGCTGCTGCTGCTGCTAGGTGAGACATGGACGCGCGCGTGAACACATGCACACATAAAAAAATAAGATAAAAAAAGTACACACACGCGCCGCGTAGCTTTCTGATCCGTTTACGCACCAGGGAGGGAGCCGCAATGCGTCAGCAAGCCACGCCCTCGCCGGAGAGGTTGTCTGCGAGGTGACGTCATGACAAGATTGTATACTTATTTATGTGTGAAGTAAAAAAACAAAGCAAAGTATACAAAATATAAAGACAACACAAAATAACCAGAACCAAAAAAAAACAACAACCGCAAAATTACCCATACAGCAAGATACCCAGCAAACATATTAAACCCAACTCTCACAAGTACCATCATAAGAACCCAGGCAACACAAAAAACTAAAGTCTATTAAACTATATTCACCAGTGAACACCTTTGCCCTCCCTCTATACATAAACTGCACGTTTCTTGTTGCATCGTCTACTTTTTCTGCAAGTGAAAGCAAGTGTTTGTCCTTTTTAAGGAATCTTCTTTATGGTTAAGAAAAGGTAACATATTAGTTCTCAGTGTTTATGTTTTGACAAAAATAAATATATATACATGGTACTTAATGATAAAGTACAAGAAAGCCTGACAATCTCTTCTCTGTTTGTATAAGCAAAAGGTTCAAGATAAACTTTCTTATGTCAATTAGGCACTCAAAAACATAATTATAATAGTAAGATTCACAGAGACATTATTTGAACTTTGCAAGTGTTTTTATATAAAATCAGTTCAAACATGAAAAAGTGACCTCTATTCTCTGCTCATCAAATATACCTGCAGGTCGATGCAATCCAGTAAGAGTCAATATCAGTAAAGCTATTCAACAGTTTATCACTTCTACGAGCTGTTAGTGCCCCCTTGTGGCCAATAGTACCCTTTATTTAAAAAAAAAGAACATCAATCATTTTCATTAATGTTTTATTTTTGGTGCTGGTACAAAACATCTTTTTGGTAACCTGTATAAACAGGAACTCTTGGAAACGTCTAAGTTGTTTCATGAGAGTGTTTTCTGATTATTATTGACTATTTGTAAAACCAGTGGATGAAGAGAGACCATTGCATTCAGTAAACACTGCTGAATAACACCAGTGGGGCCAATAATGTAGTTTAAAGAGAGACAGAAAAGTCAGCACACTAAATGTCCTTCAAAGTATTTATTTATCTGGGCAGAGCAGCAGCGTGCAGATCAACAAAGGACGCGTTTCAAGATGAAGGCCTTGTTCTACCCAGATTAACTTTACACTTTGAAGGACATTCAGTGTGCTGACCTTTCTGTCTCTATTTCGTCTTGTTGCTGTTGTGCACCTGAAAGACTGTTGTTACTGAGTGTGCTCATTTTATTTGCTGTTTTGAATCATGTAGTTTAGCCTAAACAGATGAAGATACTCTTTTGCTTTCATGCCAGATTATAAATATACCCAAGACAGGAAGTCAACATCAGTTTAAATTAATAGGCTTTTATAAGATTGCTCATCCCACTTTAAAATGGCACTCATAGTTAATAACTGTCAGCACAAGGATCTTAGTGCCTTGATTATTCACAAATATTCTTTTTGAGGTGAAACTAACCCCCTATATGTGAGATTAAATCAAAGACAGCTTGACATACCTCACTTACAAAATTGCAGAACAACAAAACTATTTTTTTAAATATTTATTTTTGGGCTTTTTGGGGCTTTATTTTAGAGATAGGAAAGTGGACAGAGTCAGAAACCGGGGAGAGAGAGAGAGGGGGGGGGGGAATAACCTGAGGGAGAGGAGCCACAGGTCGGATTCAAACACGGGCCGCCCGCTTGGAGAACTTAAGCCTCTTTACATGAGGTGCGTGCACTATCACTGGCGCCCCACTACAAAACTCTTCAAATATGATGGTCAAGGACTTCTAAATATTTATTTAAAGAAATTACAGAATGATGTGAGAACTGGCAACAGAATTAGAAACTGGGTAATAAAGTTGGATTTTTTATATATTTTTTTGGTAAGTTCTGTTTATAGTTTTCCTGGATGTTGAATTGTGCCATACCATCAGGGAGCATGTGTTACCTTAAATACAGTAAACTATGCTAAGTTCATAAACATTAATGCTATGATAGTGATGTGACTATGCAATGTAGGTATGACATGTCTTAGGAGATATAAGCATCATTTGGATGTAAGAAAGATGTTCAGTTTTTGTGACCTGACATGTTAAATATGTTTAAATATGCAACTCTTTGGGCGCTGGTAGCCTAGTGGTAAGGGGCACAAGCCCCATGTACAGAGGTCATAGTCCTCCATGCAGATGGCCAGGGTACAAATCCGATCTGTGGCTCCTGTCCTGCATGTCATTCCCCACTCTCTCTCTCTGTTCCTTATTTCTGACTCTATCTGATGTCCTATCTCTACAAAAAAGGTATAAAAGTTGATTCTCTAACTATGCTCTGTATAACAATGTAAGAAGGAAGGAATAAACACATATCACTGTTATATCATTGTTTTTTATTTTACTATTATATTTTCTTATTATTATTTTTATTTAGTATTATTATATTACTTTTGTGTTGTTTTTTGTTTGTTTTTGTTTTGTGCTTGTCTTTTCTTTTTCCTCCCTGGTATGGTATGTTATTGTAATTTATGTGTCTGTGTGTGTGCATGTCTGCGTGTGTATATGTTTGGCCGGGGAGGGGAGGTATGTGACATGTTACCAAGAAAAAATTGGTCCTTAATGATTATTGTATCATGATACCTGTCAAATTAATAAAGAGATAATTTTTTTTTTAAAAGGTAAAAAAACTCAACTCTTCCTGTCTCTTAATGTCTGTTCAAATTTCAGTGGTTTTACATTTCCTCTCACTGCTGCAGTTCATTGTTCACCTGCTGCAGCTGTACCTTTGATTCAGAACTACTTCCGCTTCGTTTTGTGTGTGCGAGGAGCCTGCTTATGCCTGTGAATGGGGATTGTCAGTTATTTGATCTATGCTAATTTTCAAACTCTTTCACTTTCAAGGAAATTGACTTTCATCAATTGAGGCAAACAGGTATGAAAAGGTCTGTGGCTCCAGTACACCCCCTTGTAAATCTGAGAGAAGACTTGTCTTAGTATCGTATTCAAGATTTTAAGAAAAAGATTAGTGAATTAGGCCCATCGTTTTTCAATAAAACATGCATCAGAAATCGTAGTGTACACTTTCATCAAAACAAGACTGCATTAGAACACTTTATTTTCGGAGCGGCAGTAGAGGGTTTGTAGGGACTTCGGTTGGAAACTGGAGGGTCGCCGGTTCAAGTGCCGGTGTGGACCAAAAAAAACTTGGAAGTTGGTCTCGTAGTTGGAGAGGTGCAAGAGGACTTCCCGAGTACTGCCGAGGTACCCGAGAGCAAGGCACTGAACCCCCAGCAGAGTGTGAACCAGAATTGTTTGTAAGAAAGCTTGTACACTTGTTAGGTCAACTTAAAAGCAAGTGGCAGAAATAAATGTTCTCATACTGCCTAACGTGGGCATCAGAAAATACTCCAGTCAATGCTCAGATCCAGTACCATCATTTAATAACCTCTCCAAAGCATCAGTCACAGTTTTCAAGTTAATAATCATCAATCATTTAAATTGCAGGGCTAATAGAGAGCGCTACGTCAGTCAAAATTACCAAAATGTCAGTTTTCCCCAAATTGTATGTATAAATATGTTTTAATCCTCATCCTGGTACCGGAGGGATGTTTGATATCAGACCGACACTCAGTTCATAACATTTAACATCGGTGCTCTGCATAAAGTTGTTCAGGGGTCATCGTTTCTTAGCTGGGAAAAAAAGGACATGAAAAATATAAAAGTCACATTAAGTACTGTGGACGCATAGTTACAAAAATATAGACGCACACATGGCACCATAACTCTGTACTTACAGTCACATAGGATATACTGTCTGACTCCATCGATCCATACTGTGATTCGCTGAGTTCTGCAGTGTGCTAAAAAAAAATTGAGATTTGTGCAACTTATTCTAGCAATATTCAGTATTCAGACATTTACAAATCTTTCTTTTACCCACATACAAACCCACATAAAAAGAGTGCAGTGTCTTCCACTGTACACACAATAGCAGCGACTCACATTTGATCCTTTAGTTTCACACCGGCCCGGTTAAAAGATGAAACCCTTGTTAGTGGTTTTAACAGGAATGTGTTTTGACTTTTTCACAGCATGTGCAGATATGCAAATGAAGTAAACCATACTGCCCACATTAAGGATCTAAAATCTGCATCATTTTAAAACCAAAAGGGGGGTACACCTTTAAGACAGTTCAGACAGACCGGGTTTACCCTCTGTAGGAGCCAGACATGTGAGCTGATGTGTTTTCGGTTTCATGGTTCGTTTACTGATTTGTTTACGGCCTTCTTGTTACTGGTGGTGGGTGTGTTCACTCGACATTTGGTGGTGATGGCAGTGATTAAATGGGCCGCACTCACCTGTTCACCTGGTTTAGGCTTAGATAGGAGGGGTGAGCGTGGGAGCAGAACATTTCTGTTGAACGCCATACTAAAGTGCACTACGATCACAAGTTGATTTTATGACGTGGGAACTGCAGTTGTAGTTTCTTGTGTTTTGTAGAAGAAATGACTAAAGTATCTTGGATTTTGGAAGTCATTCATAACAACAGCGCGTCACAGCTTCACTCCCGCGGCACCACCTGCAAAGGCCAATAAAGCCGCATTACGCTCTAATCTGGCTTCGTAGTACACCCCCAGGTCACAAACACATTGCTGGTTTATCAGTTTTGTAGAGAGATTTTTTGGTATCATGCAACGAGTTGATGCTTGAACTGAAATCATGCAAGAAGGTCTTTACATTAACCAAGAATATAAATCTCATTTTGTTACAAACAAAGAAAAAATAGAAAATTGTGAGTCAGAAACCAGGTCACTCGGTTTCTTAACTCACTTAAAAAAAAAAGAAAAAAAAAAAAGACTTTGATCTGCTGGTAAAGAAGAATGATTCCTAAAGGTCATCTTGATCGTTGTTAAAATACAGAGAATCAATTTGTTGTTAATTAATCAATCAACACTCTTAAAGGCTTTATATGCAATTTTTTGATCCAGCAGATGTCGCCCTTGAGCACCAGCATGAAACCAAAACAATTTGCGATGCATTGTTGTGTTAGCATGCTAATGCTAGCGATCTTTATTATGCTTGTATCTTCACACTGCATGTAAATTTACCCGAAATGAGCGTGGTCTAGAAATGCAGTTAAGCAGTGAGTACAGAATGTTATTCTTCTTTTCTCTAGTCCCTCAATTAAACAACTTTTATACTCGAGGGGAGGAGTCAGCCGGCCGTCCTGGCGATGTAAACAAACTGAAGATAGGACTCGGAAAGCATCACAGACAGTGGGACTCGGGTGTCACACCCATTGTAGACAGTCATTACTCAGAGTTATTTTCAGAGGATATACTTGATTTCTATTATATTTAAGTGTGAAAAATTGCATATAAAGCCTTTAAATGAACCCTGCTCACCCATGTTTTCCACCCTGGAATGTTTTGCTTAAATGTTCCCTTTCTGTGATGACAGAGGGCATGATGGGAAAGAGGAAAGTGCACCAAATAATACAAAAGACAGCACCAAACCCCCAGATGAGACATAAAAAACCTCAGATGGGCCGCCTTAGCACGGGGGAAAGTGTCAGTTAAAGTCCCGGTAAAGCTCAAGTCTCTTTTTTGTTCATGTTTGACCACAGCCACCAGGGGGCAGCACCATTCCCTTTTCCTCACCACAAAGGCAAACCAGAAGGACAGAGGAAGGAAGAGAACTGGTCCCAGTCTAGTCTACATCAGAGGCCTCATTGTCAGAGGGGAGGTAGTTGTTTCCTTTTACCCGGATGTAGTGGACTTGGCGGCGGTCGTTGGGTGAGGAGGCGCCACATGTGCAGAGCGGACCCATGAACAGGTTCTCGATGTCCTCCAGCTGCAGGCCCTTCGTCTCTGGGAGGCAGCCGTAGACGAAGAGGAGAGCCAACACCACCAGGCCCGAGTACAAGAAGAACGCCCCTGAACAGAGAGATGAAAAAGTGTGAAAATCACAGAATCATTAAGGTACAAAAATGACAAAATAAGTCGAACAGATCCAGATGAATCACAGTGTTTACCGAAGCCTGACCTCCTGACAGTCTTACCGTAATATGTGAGGAACTCTGCGATGTGAAGAAAGGTCAGAGACACCAGCACGTTGAAGATCCAGTTGACCCCGGCTGAACAGGCGTTCCCCGTGCTGCGTGCCCACAGCGGGAAGATCTCCGAGTTCACCGTCCAAGGCATGGGACCCATACCTAACACAGACAGTCATCCTTAAATCATCACAAGGATACTATTTAGTGCATGCATCATTATTTGATGTTAGGGCCGGCTGTGGCTCAGTGGTAGAGTCTGGTGTCTTTCAAAACAAACGTTCGGGGTTTGATCCCATGCTCCTGCTGTCACATGTTGAAGTGTCATTGGGCAAGACACTTAACCTCGTTATGCTCCCTTGTGCTGTGTCAGCAGTATATGAATGGGATTAGTAAGTAGTTTACACAGAAGCCTCTGCCTTCACTGTGTGACTCAGGGGTCCCCAAACTACGACCCACGGGCCAGATACGGCCCGTCCCCACATTTGACCCGGCCCTCAGAACAATTCCAAACACATTTTAAAAATCTAAATTGTAATTATATTTCATTTTTTCATAGGCCTATAAAAGTTAAGCATTTAAAATAAAATGTCTTTAGCTGGGAACTTTTATCATTACTACCTATAAATAACTTAATTATGATTAAACACTAGTTATGTTGGGGTCAGACGTTTGTAAGCAGGGAGAATTTAAGGTTAAAGCATAAACAAGGATTTCTGAGGTGTTTTATTAAAGCCCCTAGTATCTTTTTTAAAACATGGAAACAATTTGACATGTCTGTCATTGATTAAAGAACTGTAAAGAAATGTTTAAAAAAAATTAAGAAACAAAGAGATAATTGTTTTTTGACCTGGAGCAAAGAATGCAAGGTAGAGAATGAGGCCCAGCAGGATGATCCAGGAGTACGATGTTGGACAGTAGTTGTAGGCCCAGATTGGACTGTCAGCCTCCTCTGTCTGGTTGGAACACCTGGGTAAAAGAAAAAGTCCATCTTCAGGTTTTGTCATAACGCTTGATATAAATATATGATGCATTCAGAAAAATGACATGACTATCCTAATTTGAAATTATGAAGAGAATGCTATTCCTTTAGCGTTATCTCAGAGGATGTTTAAGTGAGTGAAATTGACTGAAGCGTCATGCATTCACCTGACTAAAACAAATTTTCGGAGTTAATAGAGTCGTCATCTCAAAATCAATCGTCTTTAAAACAAAACATAAAAACTGCTCTGTTTTCACAAATAAAGGAGAACGCAAAGGCCAATCATCAGCAGCAATTGTACTACATGTAGGAGGTTACTTCTAACTAGCAGAATGATCTTAATCCTGGTTTCAAAATCATTTGAAGTCCATAAATTTCTCTAGTTTAAGTGTCGCTCAGATACTTTGTTAGGATTTTAAAGATGCAAACACTTGATGATGACAGTAATGACGACCGATCGTCGTATGAGTTCAGTGTTTCCATTTTGTACTGTGACTAACATGTAGCTATTTGTCGCCCTCTCATGGACTCAGTGTCTGACCTTCCCCAGGCGGCGTGTTCTTTGGACGCTTCATTGACAGGGACGCAGGAGGAGTCGAACACTCTGGTGCCGTTTTCTTGAAAACAAAATCCACAGTCTGGATCCAGCATGCAGAGCTCACAGGACCTGGAGGAAAGAGGTGAATGTTAACCCCCAATCAATCAAACTTTATTTATAAAGCACCTTTCAGACAAATTAAATTGCAGTTCAAAGTACAAGAGTGCAGAAAAGTTATTGACCAAAAAGTAGTTTATAAAATTACTAAACTAAGACATCCTCAACACAAGACTGAGACATGTTTTTACCGAGCAACAGACACAGGCATGAATACCGCTGTGTCAGCAATCAGCAGGGATAAGAACGGAGATACTGAAGCTTTACATCAATGTCCAAACAGGCAGACAGAACAATAACATGGACAAATACTCCTTTACTGCTCCTTTAAGGAAAATACAGCTAAATCTTTCAAAGTGAAAATAAGCAGTTTTTGTTCGTTACAAAAAAAAAGAGTGAATTTGATTTTTGAATGTGTCCTCTTACCCATAAAGTCTGCAGGTTGAGTTTTGAGGATCGGCTGGGTGGAGGGTGACGGGGGGAGAACTTTGAGCAGAAAGCAAGAACCCGATGGCCAACAGAGTCAGACTCAGACCAGTACCTGTATTAGAAAACATGAAGATACTAAATGAAGCTCGAAGACACAAGGATAAAAAAAGTATGATATATCAGACCAACAAAAAAACAACAACCTTGAGACAGGTATTAACTCAAACAAATCCTCACTATCCTTTGACTGTTGTAAACACACTGATGCAGAACTGAGAAAGGTGACGATGGAGTTGTTAATCCAGTAAAAACTGTGACTACTGTTGAAGTCACAAACCGAAAAGGCTGCCCAGGGTCAGCTTCCTGCGGCCCACTCTCTCCACGAGCCAGACTCCAAGCATGGTGAACACAAAGTTAGTCGCAGAAGTTGCAGCAGCCAACCAGATCGCCTGTTTCACATCCCGCACCCCTCCCATCTGCAGAATGGTTGCACTGTAGTACCTTGATAAGAAGGAAGAGGTTTACTGACAAGAGAAATCATCAATTTAAATTCAAACCACAAAGCAAACCTAGAGCAGTCAGGGCTTGATTTATCATTTGATATTTTATGAAAGGTTAGAACGTTTTTAGTCAGTGAAGAGATAATAATGTGGGTATCAGATAAACAGACGACCTACATGACGGTGTTTATCCCGGACAGCTGCTGGAACATCTGGAGGCCACAGCCAACTACGAGGGCCCTGCGAGTCGGACCGTGGCGGAGGATCTTCATAATAACAAGGCCTCCTGAAAAAAAAAAAGTCAGTCATGTATCTTACACTTCTTTAAATATTTCGGCCATCGGTGTCAGATGTGTCAGATGTGTCACCTCCGCCAGCCTCTTTCCCTTCCTCCTCGATGCTGGCTTGGATGTGGTCGTACTCCTCGTCAACGCCCTGGTCTCCTCGGATTCGACTGAGAACTTGTCGGGCCTCTTGGCTCCGGCCCTTTTGGAGGAGCCAGCGGGGGCTTTCGGGCAAGAACAAGAAGCCCACAAACTGCAGCACAGCCGGGACAACTGACAAACCCAGCATGTACCTAAAGTCCAGACACAAAGACAAGTCTTGGTTGGATTACAGGAAGTCAATCCAGCAGTCCATTTTTAATCATAATCATACAAAACATTGTCTGTTCAAATTTGGGTATTACCTCTCCATATATATTTAGCCCCACCTATTCATCTACATTCATCAAGATCGATATTACCTAAATATCTGTTGTATATTTTTACCATTTTTTTTTTTTTTACTATTATCAATCAACTGTTCTAGCCTCAGGAACCACTGACCACTCCTCAATGAGAAATTGCGACTAAGATGTCAGATATTGGGGCGCTGGTGGCGCAGTGGTTGGTGCGCGCGCCCCATGTATGGAGGCTGTAGTCTTCCAAGCGGGCAACCCAGGTTCGAATCCCACCTGTCGCATGTCGTTCCCCACTCTCTCTCCCTGATTTCCAACTCTATCCACAGTCCTATCTCTCCATTAAAGGCACAAAAAGCCCCAAAATAATAATTCTAATAAAAATATTGCGTTTTGTACCTCAGATGGCATAAAAAGTGACAGAACAAAACAATCATGTTTTAAAAGTTTATCATAGACTTTTTGACACTTTTGCTACCTAATGAAAACAGCTCCATGACCCACTTTTGGGTCCCGACCCACCTGTTGACAAACACTGATTTAGGTCATTTGCAAAAACCATAGGTTATTATTTAAGACTTCTGTTACATATGCTACTATTTTAAATGAAAAGTCGTCTTCCCAAGAATAATCACAACCAGCGGTGTATCTTTTACACTCTATTTTCTTGATTTTTTTAAACCCATATCCAAAATTCAGAAAAAGTGCGTTAGGGTTTGAATGTTGCCAAAATACCGGTGATGTTAGCACAATGTTGTGTCAGCCAGAATGCATCCTGCATAGACGGAAAGAAAATCACCGCTGCTGCTTTGAAAACAAGCCGGTAGATATATTTTGTAGTTCGAGAACCTCTGAACCGTGGAGTCAATATACAGTTAATATGGAGAACTATTTCCACTAAATATTTTAATATGTTTACGTTTTGAGTCGGCAACACCCTCTGTTAGTGTCCCCTGAGGTGACACAGAGAGAGAGAGAGAGAGAGAGAGAGAGAGAGAGAGAGAGAGAGAGAGGGTAAATGAATAAAACAAAATACGGTGTAGTGTAAAAACAACGCATACCTCCAGCCGCCGTGTCTCATGTAGCTGAACGCTCCATCGACCACACTGGCTATAAACTGACCACCAGTGATGAAGAGCGAGTTGATGGTGACAAGCTGACCTCTCTGGTGAGGGGGGGAAACTTCAGCGATGTATACAGGAACTGTCATGGAGGCGATGCCTAATTTGTAAGAAAAATAAAGTAGGGTTTCATTTTAATATCGACAGTTTTCATAGAGACAATATAAGGCAAAGACATCTGTAGGTCTTCTTTACTCTATTCTGTTACATGATCCACAGCGCTGCTCTTTATTTATGCATAAACACATCAGCTCATAAACCGGTTATATGCAGGTTTAAATGCAGGAGTAAGATCAGGAAGCCTCACAGCACATTTCAATAGTTATGAGAAAAATCACAACACGTAGGTGTAGTCTCTTGTTTTTTTTTTGGACTGGGTTTAAGTCATGGTTTAAGTCTGACCTGTGTCTTCCCTGCACGTCATTCTCCACTCTCTCAGCGGTTTCCTACTCTATCCCATGTCCTTTTGAATAAAGGCAAAGAAGCCCAACATAACACAGAGAGATACAGTAAATTGAATGACCACCAGGATGTCCACGCTTCTCTATGAGTGCGGAAGGGGGGCGGAGCAGCCTCGTTCTCACTCTCAGGTAAGGAAGAAGCTGTGACCGCAGTATGACATGAGAAATAAAAGTGGCTCAGAACAGGTGGGATGAGGGCTCAGAGGAGCAAAAACAGGAATAGACCACAATCATTTTGCTCTGTCTGCATTTTAACTTCAGACGGTGAATAAGGAGTTTCAGATATGTGTGGTCACAGCTTCTGGATGACATTGTGGGGACCTAAAGATAAAATGCTAAGTGGCAATATTTCCTTGAATCATAAAAAGTAGGAGGAGATGTGTTGCAAAAAATTGGGGTTTTGGACATTATTATACCCTCACTGCATTTCACCTGCAAACATGTAATAATATATTTTTTCTTTTAACATGTGAAGTAAACACCAACTCACCTATGCCCAAACCAACTACGATTCTGCCCACAAGCAGCACCTCTTTATCAGGAGCAATACTCAGGATGACGCCACCGATGCTGAAGATGAAACTGGCCAAAAGGATGCAGATCCTTCGTCCGAGCCACCCATTCAAGAAGCCCCCGCTCAGGGCAGCGATGGCAGCAGCCCCGACAGTACTGGAAACAAGCACCTCCTGCCACAGAGTGGTCAGGTTCATCTCCTTCTTAAGGAGCAGCATGGCCCCAGAGACCACCCCGGTGTCATACCCGAAGAGGAACCCTCCCAGGGCAGAGAAAAATGCCAACACGTACATGAACGCGGGTGTGGAGGAGGAGGAGGAGGCATCCTGGTCCAGGAGATCCCCAGGTGTGGCACGGTGTCCAGATGGCGCTCCAGTGAGACTCTGCTGTCCATCTTCAGATGCTTTCTGTCCCCTGCTGCCCATAAGGATGTTTACACGATTAAAACTGTACTCATCGTAGCTGCTGGACATAAGGGAAAACCAGGAATTAAACTCATCAAGGGTTAATTTTACAACCTGAGTCCCTCTCCCTTTCTAAGTGGGGATAGACTTCCTCATTCCTTCCTCACAGCTGCGTCAAAACAAAGAAAAGTTGAGGGGGAAAAAAGAGCCAAAACCGAAGGACTTTCCAATACCAGACGTCCCAGTAATCCAAATTTAAAGTTAAGACCTCAGCTCCAGAGAAGAAGAAAAAAAAAAACAGGGAAGTAGGCAACACGTCTAGACGCTGTCAGCTCGATTGCTCACTTCAGAAACGATAACATCTCGTGGTTAGTCTCTGCTGCTGGCTGTACTTTGTCCCTGCTGGTACAGCAAACTTCAGTATCAAGTCACGAGGATTTTCTATTTTTTTCTGTATCACGGCGCATATTGATGGCTTCAAACAGAACCTTCAGAGAGAATATTTCCCACGAACAGTGCTACAACTCCACTGTGTGCAGCCATGTTTACGTGACGTCATCTAACAACCCAAACAGGAAGGTTTGAAAAGAGATGTCATTTGATGTAAACGAATCCTAATAATAGATGTGTGAATGATACAATGCATCCAAAAAAAATCAGCTGCCGTTTCTTGCGAGCATCCAACTAAATACGTAAATATTTTTGGGGAACAAAGTGACACAATTCCCTATCATATCGCCGAACTCCGTTTCGAATTTGTTGTTTTAGTAAATCCTCGATTTTTGGCACATTTAATATTATTTAAAATGAATGTGAACGCAATTTATTGAGCGTCTCTACAATTCGGCCGATGAAGTTTTATTTAAAATGAATTTCTTATACCTTTAACTCGCTTATAAGGATTGCTATTGACAATATTAACATGATCAGTAATTTAACTACTAAAATGTATACAATTAATTAAATCTTGATTATTAAAAAAAAAGCCAATAGAATGTGAATCGAAGAATCTGTGACTGATAAGCTGACAGGTAAAAATCGAGTTGCATATGTCACTCACGGCAGATGATATATGTAAATAATAATAATAATAATAATAATGTAAATACATGCTGCAGTTTTTTTTATCCTGCACTACAACGAGCCAAATGCAACGAAATGTCGTTCTTATCTGCACTGTAAAGTACAAGTTTGAATGACAATAAAGAAAGTCTAAGTCTAAGTCTAATATATGACACGTATGACGTAGGCCTAGGTGACATCGCCAATAAACCAAAGATCATCTTGCATTTGTGTAAAATAGTTTGATCCATACCTGTTTTAAGTGTATGTCTATTTGTAGCACTGCTGCCGCTGGTGTCCTGTTCAACAAACGGGGAAGTGTGTCTGATGGCCGTAGATCATATGATGTGGCCGGAGGAAAAGGATGAACACGCCCACTAACGTTGAAACGAATACTGAACTTACCTGTGCTTCAAGTGATCCTCTCACGGCCTGTAAAACAGCTGGGTTGAATTCATATGCCAAACAGAAGAAACTCGCACCACTTGAAGTAAATGTTACTTTAACATTGTAAAGTATGAGTAAACTATCACATGTATTCATATCAGCGGTTCCTTACACCGCTCTGCAGACTGAATGTCATTTTTTTTAACATAAGGCAATATACTATGCTAATGTTGCCTTTGCTTGTATGTTACAGCACTTTGTAAACCCGTGTTTTTAAAGGTGCTTTATGAATAAAACTATTATTAGCCTATATAAAATGTTAATAGACTGATTGACTCTAATGGAAAAGAGTCTTCATTCTGTTTTTGTTTATTTTGGTTTAAGATCAGGTTCAATGATATGTGTAAATAGTAGAGGAACAAACCCCCCAAAAAGGCTTTAGTTTTCGAGATTACCCGACCCGAGGTAGAACAAAGCACAACAATATTTTTTCCAAAAAAATAATAAAATATGTAGTCCTATTTTGCTACGTATTCCTCAATCTGTGATAAAAGTGGTTTAACCTATAGACTGTAAATAAACAGGTATTACCACTTCATCAACTCAGAGGGATTCATAATAACGTTATTATTTAAATCAATAAAAATTACTGACTTGGTGCCAAAATGCTTGTTTTTATATTTGAATGTAATACCGACACTGAACACTGGGTGGACACTTGGCTCCAGATGATGGGATTCAGGTGTGTGATGTAGTTTTTATTAGCCTATGTTTTGGACGTAATGAGACATTTTAGTAGAGGAACTTGGGCCCCTAAAAGTTGAGAGACCCCTACCCGAGGTAGAACAAAGCACAACCATATTTTTTCATAACTTGAACATGTGTAGTTTATGAATCGGATGGTTGTATAAAAATATTTGACTGCAAAATAACTTTTTTTGGATGTTTTATGCATCTTACCAAAAAACGAAAATAGGTCAAATTAGGACTTCTCCAAAAGGGACAGCTCTAGCCTTATCACATGTATCTCTGGGAATCAGAATCAGAATTTCACCAAATTTGGACAGGATGTTCACAGATAGTTATTAGTTACAATTATGCAAAGTTTTTATCAATACCATTTTCAATTTTTGAATTTTTCACACTTAAACACACATGTAGTTTAGGCGGAAATTGAAAATTGAAACAAAAATTCAAAAGGTATGTATATCAAAGTCTGTCATTTTTAAGTAAGTACTCCAAACATTAAAATATGTCATTTTTATCTTCTTTAGACTGTAATCTCAACATAAAAGCAAGTTATTTGACTTTTCACTTGACCCTATGCTGTCACTAGCCCCTAACAGGAAACTAGTTCAGCCAGGATTTCAGGGCGATCTGGTACAATGGGGCCCTATGGATGTGTATGTGGGAGGAGGTGGCCACAAACAATAGATTAAGACTTAACAAGACACAATATAATTGTATTCTGTAATATATATATAATTAAACATTTTATAGTTATTCCTAATACATTTGGTCTCATATTTTCTATCTTACATATGATTTATATGATGACACTCAGAGTCAACCCGCTGCTTTCAACAATATTGTCACCTATGACATTGTTTCTATTTCATTCTAAAAAATTAAAGCATTGTCTTGCCATCAGTTGTGAAATATTAATGAACTAAAAAACAGTATTGATATATATAACCTTGAGTTCTTAGAAATTAAATATACTTCATATAGTCTATTTGTATATCTCCCATACAGCCTGTTGTAGTTTTTTTTAAATGTATTTCAGTCATATAAAGATGGTGTGTCACCATATCTCCTGCTTTTAAGATGAACCCTAGTTACTTCAGAGGATACACTGGATGAATGGATAGTTTTTATAATACCCTAAGTATGATAAAGTGTTAAAAAAAAGCTACAATAGCTATTTTTGTTGAATGATTTATCAGGCAACCAATGGAGCTGGGATGCAAAACAATTCTTATGATGCCTTAAATGTGTGTCAGGTAAATTAGGATAACAATCATACAGACATGTCATTGGAGCTATGGAGCTCATTTAAACTTATACTGATATCGTTAAATGGTTTACAAAAGCAAACAAGACCTTAAGATAGAAGATATTTTCTTCAGTGAAGTTATTCTTATTTGTTACTGCTTTCAGCGGGTTGGTGAGATAATGACGTTATTATGAATCCCTCTGAGTTGATGAAGAGGTAATACCTGTTTATTTACAGTCTATAGGTTAAACCACTTTTATCACAGATTGAGGAATACGTAGCAAAATAGGACTACATATTTTATTTTATTTTTTTAATTATCATTAAGAAAAAGTGAAAACACAGAGTAAGATAACATAATACAAACTACACAAACTGAATAAAAGTATAAACATAGGGGTATAAAAAAACGAGCTAAGTAACATATTAGGAGTTTCACAAATGTTTCCTGTTTTCTATCTTTCAGTCCATGTAACGATGTATTTTGTAATTTTTGTAATGTTTTATTGTTTTTGGGTTTCATTGACATTTGTGAATAGAGTACTTCCTAAACAAAATACATATATTTTTACATCATAAAAACCTACATATTTTATACTGTCTGTGGTTGTTGTTGTCAGTGTTCAATACCGTAGTTACTGTGCTACGTGCGCGCTGCAAAACGAGACGCTTGATGCGAATTGAAAAACTTACAAAAAGTTGTATTTTCTTGGATTCAACTCAATTTTACGTGAAGCGACGTGCAACGAACGTAGATTTAGCAATCATAACAATTTAAAAATATTTACATATTAGCACTGTGTATTAAGTATGCCCGTCAAATTGCGAACAATAATTGACATAGAAGAATTGTTGAAGGGAATACGGCGAAAAAAATCTGTGCCAAGATTATCTCACTCTCAGGAACTCGGTTTCGGTATGGGAGGCAGCTTCAGGATTCCCCTTGACTTCAAAAGTTAAGCTGTCAATTACAGACGGTCATAGTTAGATTAAAAAAAAATACGATTCTGTGCTGAAATGAAAGTTTTAAGACGGTTGCCTAGTGACTCCGTTACCCCCCTCTCTCTCTCTCTCTCTCTCTCCCCTCCCGGTGCTGTTGCGCGGTGACCGTTTCCAGTTTCCTCTTTGACAAACGGGAAGTTTTTCAGCTTGGAGTCATATGATGTGACTTCGAAGGAGGAGGAGGAGAAGGAGGAACCCGCCTGTCATAGAGGAAACAACATTATTATGTGTCCAACTCCACAAAGAGGAACATGGGGGAAAGTTAGCCGAGGACGGTGATGTCAGCCTGGGAACCGAAACAACGAGAGACACTGACAGCTTCCCCAGATCGTGACAGCCGGTTAGCTGTTTTTAGCTAACGTAATATGATGCCACAAAGCTAATATTAAGTAATGTGATGTAATGCTATGAGTAGCTACAGCAGCACTTTTCGCCTCATGCTACAGTAGCCATGCTGCGACAGTGTTGTGGTGGTCGCCGCTAGGCTCTCAACTCGTTTTTAAGAAGCTGTAAACCGATCGACCTAAATGCACTTCAAGCCGTCAGCTGGGAAACAGCATTTCAAAGACCATGGTTAACCAAGAGGAGTTGGAAGAGAGGTTGAAGAAGCTGCTAGTGAGGCTGAAAACCCCACAAGAAGACAGACAACTGATCACACTGATTCAGATTATCCAGGATCTGCTTTTCCTGGCGCACACCGACAATGGTAGGAAACAAAAACCTTCCTGCTTATGAATCATACTGCCTGTTTATAAAAAGACACAATTTCCTTTGCGCATGTTGTTGATTTAAGAGTACTGTCACAGTGTGAAAACACCCAGTTTCCTTCAAATACAGATGTTTACTTATCCACAAAACTGCTTATTTATATATATTTGATTATTATATGCCCCTTTGTTCTGACACTGTAATGTGGGCATCATTTTTTGTTTCGATTTGTGCAGGTTAATGTATAATCTCCATATTTTGTAAGGTGGTTTCAGCTGTAAAAGTGTATGATATTTTCTTACAAAGATAGGCTGCTTGTAGGTCACATCTTAATCCCCCCTTAAATTAAGATTCAAGTGCAATGTTTTTTCTATAATGTAACAAAGCAGAGGTAAGAAGGTTGGAAAAGGAAATATAAACATCCAAGGGGAAGTTAAATAGACCTACATTGAAACCAGTATATCAGATTTATTGCAACTGATGATTCAGAATGAATATTCAGAATAGTTTTTATTTTGTTCCTCATTTGTTCTGTTTTAAGAGACTTTTAGTTGCCAATCTAGGTTGCTCATCATCAGCTAAGGAGTTTATCTAACAAATAGGACTTGTAACATTTTCTTTATGTGCAATTTTAAACTCAGGTACCGTCACATGTACTGCCCTATACATACTGTACTTTGCACAGAGAGGTGACACACAGGGACATGTAAGTGTTGCTGTTTTTACGAGTGGTTTCATTCAAAAGCAAAGTCTAGATTTGAATAGTAAAAAGAATGCACGTTAATTTATCATCATTACTTAGGTATACTTTCACATTGAAATATTGAATTCAGGACTTGCTGAAACAAATATTCAATTAGAAACTGATTGGTTACTATAAATAACGAAACAAAAGTTAAAGATAATGCCCATTTCACCCTCTATAAAGTTCAGGAGGGCAGTCAGGATTTTCTGGTTCTCCAACTTGTATGATTAAAAAAAGATCTATATTTTTATGTTTGCCGAGTTTTAACCAATGACAACACTAGTATTGTGTTTATTCTCTCTCCAAATACTTATTTCCCTTGACTCAAAACAATTGGTAATTGTGTCTTTCTATGTATTCTTCTTTGCAGTGTGTATTCATCTCTTCTCATTTTAACAATGCAAATAAACACAATTTAACAATAAAGAAGGACACTCTTGCCCTTCAGCCACTCCACAACAACAGGTTGTAGCCATGGGTCTTAGCCGTCAGAGAAGGAACGGAGTCCACTGAATTATATTTTACAAGTCAACACAATACTCCCACTTTTCTAAGGGAACCCTTGTTATTTCTAGACTCTTCTCCCAAGCTTTGTAATGTGCATTTTAAAATAGGAATGGCCGTTAAAGAGCTCGCCCTGTCCTTCAAAGCCAACCGGTCTCATCATGTCTTTTCATCTGTTTCTCCTGTCATGCAGCTGCTGAACTGTTTGAGGACAAAGCCGTCCATGACCCCCTCATGATAGTGCTGTCATCCTACATGAACAGCCGAGGAGTCCAGCAGGTACAGCGAGACATCACAAACAATGTGGCATCTTGACCAGCTTTACTTTTTAAATAACGGTGCCATAGAATCAGCGTTTAAGGTGCTAAAAGTTGGAGGTGTAAAAGCGCTCTGAGTAGTGAGAAGACTAGAAAAGCGGCTAAACAGGCACACCATAGAATCGACTTCTAAGATCGTTTCTGCTGTTTGTACTGTTACTTGAAAGTCATCCACAGCTGCCAGGCCTGTGTCTCATTTCGCATGTTTATGGCGTCCCATGACTGCAGTGGATGGTAGCATATCAGAACTGGAACTCGGATTGTCAGACTCATTTACAGACTTGGTCATGACCGACAGACTCATCCACAGTACCCGAGGTTTCTCTTTATGAGCCCTTCTTAGGCTGCTTTGGACAGTTTGGGGGGTGAAGGGAAGTTTGTATATACTGAAGCATTATGATTTTACTCATTGTGAAAAAGCTGCATAGCACAGCATCTGTTTTCTATCTACAATATGCAAAGATTTGTGGTGGTGGTTAATTTTGTGTGGGTATCACATTGCAAACAGTATAGCAATATTTAGCAAGTCATCGTGTAATGTAACCCTTTATATCAGCTATAGGCTGCTGTCGGGTTTATTGTCAGAGACTTTCAATCATTTACAGCTTGTAAATGTAGGACTATGTCTCAAGCGTAGTTTTATTCTGCAGTCTGTCCTACTTATAGAAGCCAATGATGACTCAGTGGTTGTTCATGTACCAGGATCAGGACACGGGCATTTTGTTAGTTATGGAAGAATCAGAATCTGGGTATTTTGCCAAGTAGGTTTTACATAAAAGAAATGTGTTGTGTTGGTTTGCTGCATAACAGTAAACAAAAAAAGGCAAGCAGAGTAAACAGCAGTACTTCCACTTCTGAGGAACTTTACTCAACACTTTTGTTAAAAATGTTAAGGTCCTAAGCTGGAACATTGCTCAAGCATCTTACATATATCTGGCATTTATTCAGAGCATTTCCACAGCATCGCAGGTTGAAGCACACTCTTCACATTTCAGTTAGAAATCACCTTTTTTTTCTTTCATCTATTCATGAATTTTTGTCTTTATCACCAGCCTGTACACTTCATACTGTGCAATCTTCTTGCTACAGGTGGGTTGGTCACTGCTGTGTCGGCTGATTGAAATATGCCCCCGTACCCTGGACGAGCTGACCAAACCTCTGCAAGCAGCCAAGGACTGGGAGATACTGGGAGTGCACCAGTAAGTAAAGACAGACTTATTGGGGGCCGCAGCTGTGGCGCACTAAAATCGTGAACTCATACCAGCAACGGTTTCCTGTCACATGGGAATACATAACAGTTTCACACCAACAGTGAGATTCGTTAATAGTCAAAAGGAGAAATGAATTTGTTCTCCCAGTACACACTGTATGTTCACAGCTCTACTACTGCATGTTTTAAAGACATGGGAAATCAATATTTGTTATTCTGATACCAAACATTTCACATGACAGATACATTACCTGTCAGCCTCATGTTGATTTCCTTTTATGAATCTGTGAGACAAATATACAGCATAATTATCCGGTTATACTCTGTGTTTATTGATACCAGCATCAGGACTATTGTGGCGGCTAAGTTGAAGAATACCGCACGGAGACTAAGTGGGCCTGTAACTGTGACTCCGTCGTATCAAAATAAAATTCAGAGAAGTCCAGATAAGTTTGTTGATTGTTTCTATAAAAGAGTGAAAAATAATTCTAAACGAAAGTCCAAAAGAAGATGATAATTACGATGATAGTAGAAAATATTGAAACCCTCACACCCTCTTTGTCTAGCTCTAGTGTTCTAGTGACATACCCGAGACCAGAGTGCTCTGAGACCGAGACAGCACCAAGACAGTTAGGGATCGAGACTGAGTCAACACCAAGACCATGACAGGGCAAGGCCGAGACAAGAGGAAGACACTTAGAGATCGAGACCGAGTCGAGACCAAGACCAAGACAGGACAAACCAAGACAAGAGGAAGACCGTTTGCTGCCTTAACCAGGGGATAAAACTGAAATTATGAATTAATTGAAGTTATTCGTTCTTTTAGAAAGGGATATTCTCCTTCTAACCAGAGTAATGACGTGAAAATATCCAATCAGTGGTGGTCTTGATTTAAAATCCGGAGTCCGCCCAGTCTGAGACAGAGACAAGACTGAGTAAAAATGCTTTATATTCCGAGAAAATTTTGAGTACTCCAACATTATCTAGCTCCCGCCACACTCTAGCCCACTGCTGCAAATGACTGGAGATTAAAATAAAACCAATTCAAGGAGTGTAACAAAAAAATAATCAACAGAGGTAAAACACACATTATAGCTCCTCCTAACTGTCCACATGTAAAAGCCTGACTACTAAACAGAACCAGGCGATCTTTGACAAACAGACACATTGATTCCAGATGTTACATATTTTCTACATCAGTTTTTTTTTTTCTTTAGTCGACAGTTTGGTGCTTTTAGGAGTTTCCGAACCAATAGTCTAATGCCACTTTCAGCTTTCAGTTCCTCTTCATCGCACTGAAACAGCTCTGCTCATATCACTGTCACACAGGGTCGCCTTAACTAATGCCATGTGGCCTTTTTTAGTTCCTTTGTACTGACATCTTACATTTTCTCTAAATACTTTTTATGATTAACCGAGCTGTTGTTTTTCTTCAATCCTCTGTGTTAGTAATATTGGTTAAATAATTGTGCTCAGACTATAAGGGGAGGGGTTTTACTCAATGATTAACTGGTCTATAAATCAGCATCATGTTTACAACTGTTTTTTAAATGTGCAGTATTTTCAGTGCACATCAGTAAAACCTTTGTTTGTAAACTTACCATTAAGTCTTGAATCCCTTCATCTCTGCTGCAGCCCTGGATAATTTCTTTCCCTGTGCCGATGTGTTCTGCAGGCAGATCCTGAAGGCTCTTTTTCACTACAGCACAGACTGCAGAGTGACCATGGTTGGACTCAGAGCGCTGGCTCTCCTGCTCAGATCAGGTACATGACTACAAAGGAAATATACCATAACAAATGGTAGTATTGCTCCTGCTACATATGATGGCAGCAACGTTGAAGAACAGCAGTCTACATGTACTTACTCTGCTATTTAAACCAGTGTGTCGGAGTATTTTCCATATCTGGTATATATCAGGGTTTCCCCTCTAAAAAGCTATAGTTGTTTTGTGATAATTTTTTTTAGCCCTGCTCAGAACAGGCTGTTTCTGTGTCTGTAGCTTTAAATGCAAATGAGCTGAGCCTGACCACGCCCCCTCTCTGGAAGGGCTTGGGTGGCTTGGGCTTTCTCGCTCTGTGCCAAATTGTTTAGGGTGGAAAGGCAGACTCGGAGGACAGAACAAACACCTAGCTGTGGGAGTGTCACCCACCAGGGGAGGGGTTACTGCCCTTTGTGATGTCATGAAGGGAAAATCTCCAAACGGCCTGTTTGAGCACACATTTTCTGAAAAGTGGAGCAGGCAGAAGACGGAGAGGATGGACTTTTCATATAATCGGGGTGTTTGTAGACAGACTAGGGACACATATTAGTGTTAGAACAACATGGTGAAGTATATTTTGAATAATATGTGACAATTAAAGAGTTATTTTTGGGCTTTTTTATTTAGAGATAGAACAGAGTTGAAAATCAGGAAGACAGAGAGTGGGGACTAAAGCCTGGAGGACTAAAGCCTCTGTACATGGGGCACACAAACCACTACACTAATGGTGCTCCATCAGAGATTTTACGCCCAACAAATTGTGTAATTTCAAGTATGGAGAGTACGTTGTGGCTTGTACACATCTGACACTACGGTTTTAGAGTGTGTTGTGTTTTGTAAACACTATAAATAAAGACATTATATTCTATTTTTAGGAGTGGGCCTGAAAGTTCTTAGTTCCTTTGCAATAAGTTTTACTTCAGCTTTCTCCCCAAGCGCTCTTGAACCCTTTGTTCTAATGTGAGGAATCACTTACCAACTGGTCAGATATGAACCCTATTAAGGCATTATGTGTGTTTTAATGCTCATATAACTGCATCACACAGTTGTTGTAATTCTTCTTTTGTAGACATTATTCCTCTGCTGGTGCTGGAGGAGGACGAGGAGGATGTGTTTGGCCTGGTAGTGCAGGCCATGAGGACGTTTCCTACCAGTGAAGAGGTTCAGCTCCATGGTTGTGCAGCACTGCAGTTGCTCCTGGAGAGAGGTGAGCTGAAGACTCCATCCTCTTTATACTGTACCATGAACGTGTGTAGTAATATTTGTTTTCCAATATTTGTACTTCTAATGTTAGCTCCCTTCAAACATTAGCTTCCATCACAAAAAAAACAGGTCATGTTAGCATACCTACCTGCCTGTATGCATACATTAACAAGGTGACGTGCTTACAGATAGTCAGCTTGCAGCTTTTAAAAATGTACAAGCTCGCGTTTAAATTATAACCTGCAGCCTTTTAGCGTGCTAATGTTTGCACCTTTTCATGAGAAGCTCTGCATTGACCTTTTTCTGTGTGCTTCACTGTAGTTGCTAAATATTCCGATTGCTCATGTATTTCTAGTGAGCGATGCACACCTTGTGGAGTTTGTGGAGAACGAGGATCATGTTGTAGTGCTGGCGGCGCTGCAGGGTTTCCTGGACAGCCCCCAGCTGCTCGAGCAGGCCATGAAGGTGCTGCTCCCACTGACTCGTCCAGGTATGTCGTCATTACTCTCCTCTAGAGTTAAAGGAGGTCCTAGTGGTAGGAAAACTTGTGTACTAACTTTACTACTTCAATGCAGTTATGTTAGTGTGGACAGAGGAATGTGTTCACTCTACTAATGTAAGGCTTTATGTGTTAAACCACATGACTCAGTAGATTATCATAAAGGAAGCACATTCCTCAGGAAACACTTTTCTCTCTTTATTTCACACAGTCTATTTCAGGCCGCAGCAGCAGCAGCAGCAGCAGACAATGACGTCACTGTGACTTTAAAACAGTCCCTTTGTAAATCTGATTATGCCTCAAACAGCATTAGACATGTGTGATGGTCAAGTGTGTCAGAAGAACAGCTTGTTGTTAGAAGGAGAGTAGTGTTTGCTAAAAACCTTCATGGAAATCCCCGCTTCAGTGAATACTGCATGCATTTACTATCCAGATGCAAAGTTTTATCATAAATGAATTAGCTGAAGTCCAGCAATATTTCCAAGAAAGATTTTTTTGACAGCAAATTCAATTACGAGAATGTCAACAGGCTTGATTTCAGTGGGTACATTTTACAATTTATGTAAAAGTAATCAGAGGAATGCTGAAAGAAAAAGGTTTCATAATAATTTTCCCTCAGCATAAGAAGTAGTTCATTTGGGTAGTTTTAAATGACAAGGATAGGACAAATGTATGCTTCTACTATGGATAACTAATGTTAATAATAATGTAGATTAAATGCATAATATAAGCAAGCATTTTGGATAATAACTGCTTTCATTACGGCAGTAGTTGCTCATTCTGTAGGGACTTGGGTTTGGAACCGGAGGGTTGCTGGTTAAAGTCTCGGTGCGGACCAATGTATGGAAGTTGGTTTGGTAAAGAGGTGCCAGGTCACTTCCAGAGTACTGCCGAGGTAAGGCAGCCCTTGAGCAAGGCACCAAACCCGCCATCATGCTCTTGAGAGAGATTCAAGGCTATTTGTACAACTATCATGAATATTATATTTTCTGACCGCTTGTTTTTCTTTCCTTTCTTTGCATTTATTCCCTTCCCAGTTTTATCCACTGTGAAGTCAGATTAGATTTAAGTCTCAAAACGGGAAAGTAGTTGATGTTGATGCCCTAACTTGAACTTCAAAAAGCAAGGGGTAGTGTGAAAGGTAACCATGGCTTTTCTCTTCCAGGCAGTAACGTGGAGGTGTTGATGTCGGGAGGTGCTCGATGCTACAGCGTGATCATGGCTGCAATGGATGCTTTCCCCGAGGTGGAGGAGCTGCAGGAGACGGCCTGCTGCCTGTTCAGGAGGTTAACATCAGGTCAGACACAAGATTACATTTTCAATGTTTCCACACAGTCTGTGCCAGATTTAAACAAAGTATGTCGAAATTTAAATATCCCCATCTTCCCTACGTTTGTACCGAGTGCTCAATTCTATGAAATGAAAGAAAACACGTAAATAAATACTACGCAAGAAAAATAAGAAAAGGTCTTCCACAATTTTAAAACTTGAGCTTGTAGAGTGCTTTTCTAGTCTTCTGACTCCTCCAAGTGCATTTTACACCGCAGGTCACACCTACACATTCACACAGATTCACACACTGATGGTAGAGGCTGCTATGTAAAGTGTCCATCAGTATAGCTAATCCCATTCATACACATTCATACACTGCTGACAAAGCAGAGGGAGCAACTTGGGGTTAAGTGTCTTGCCCAAGGACACGTCGACATGTAGCTGCAGGAGCTGGGGATCAAACCCTCGACCTTCCTTGAGAGATGACCGACTCTGACCACTGGCTCAGCCTGGGATCAACTTGATGAGGATGCTTGTGGGTTGTCTTTATGCATGTCTTAATCTTGCTGTTACCTGTTACACAATGACAATACACACTTCTGCAAAAACAATTTTGCACTTCATTTGTTCTTCAGAGTTTAGTGGACTAATGGGCTACAGGAGGGTCTGTAAATCCAAAAAACAAGCTCACCCTCAGTAACTTATATGGCGTCACTCTGAATCCTAAAACAAAAAAGGTTTGGAAAGTATTTCAGGACAGGTGTTTTAGTAGTTAATATTAGTAATATAAGTAGTAATATTTCAGGTGTGCTGTCCTGAAATACTTTCGATACAGGAGGGTGAGAAAAATGAGAATTAGAACAAGAATCTTCCTGCTAGCTTCTTGTAGCTTGCTCAAGACCTGAAAAATAATTTGTGTTGTGCTGAAAGCTTTTTGTAAGAAGCGCTTCAATTTGGGACCTTATGTTCGGTGATCACTCTTACCCTGTTTTCTCTGCTTTTATGAAAAGTTGTGCATATGACAGGTTAAACCAACCGGCACATGCACATTTAGCTGAATGCAAATTTTTTGGGGGATACTGTTTAGTTGCATACCTCCTGAATTTACTGGAACAAGTGAAGCTACGGCAATGAATAACCACTGAGTGTCTCATATGTTTACCCTCAGTGGTGATAACACTGTTTGTGACGTCAATAAATTAATACAGCAGTGTGTGGCCTGTATTCATCCAGATTGGCTAATGTGTTTGATAGTTGGCAGATTAAGATTGAAGAGGTCAGTAGCTGTATCCGTTCAAACCAGGGTGTGTTTGTTTTGTGTCCTCTTGTTTGTAGAGAGTTACTACAACATCCTGGTACTAAACGGCATCCAGAGGGTCGCAGTGAGAGCCTGTCACACTTTCCCCGATAACCCAACGCTGCAAGCTGCTGCTCTCTCCTGCCTGGCTGACCTCAGTAAGGCTACACACATACACACACACACACACACACACACACACACACACACACACACACACACACACACGTACCTGCTATATTTAACTCATTTATTTATAGAGACAGAGGTGACTTAGGGTTGGAGACTACAGAACCATATTGTGTGGGCATTGTTCTGTAGCAGAACAAATAAAGAAAGCAGCCCTTTCTTTATTTGTTTTGATTATGCTGATTGATTTTCAGTCATGAACCTGCCAAATATGAACATCAGTAGCCTCCAGCTGTTTCCTTCTGCCTCTTTGGTGTGCAGTAGTCTGGATAGAAGATAAATATATTCAGCCTGTCTGAAAATAAAGGCAGGAGAAGAAGAAATGAAAAAGTCTTGAGTATCTTTCCTTGCCTCCTGACCCTCCGGTTCCCAACCCAAGTTCTGCCTGAGTTACTGCCGTCCCTGGCTTCCACATTGTGTCGTTTTTTTTTTTTTTTAATGCCACAGTTTTTTGGTACCACCAAAGCAAAGCCAGAGACTGTCTCCTTCATGTCCTTTGATTTTATTTGTATTTCAGTTCACCCATATGTGACACAGAAAACAGGCCCGTGGTGTCGACTCCAAAATCCTTGAAGATGTAACCAAACAAACTCAACACAGTTCTAGATCAAAACAGGACTATAGCCTGTTTTTTAAACCATGAAATCATCGGCTGATTAGAAAAATCAAGCTGAGAAACGGGGTCAGTTGATTCACAATAAGTTCTCAGTAAAAAAAATTGTTGTGTGATCCACATGGAACAGAGTCATATTTAGTACGTTTTGAAAGATCTTGTGTTTGAATCAGTGGAATCAAGTCAGTTGCTAAAAACAGAAGACCTCAAACTTTACAAGCCATGAAAATAATGTGATGGTTACATCAGAGCCTGACATGAATCCTCTCCTGTCAGCTGCCACCATTGTGCAGAACAAGGCGGTTGCTGATCAGGGTCCTGAGGAAGGAGAAGAGGAGGAGAACCGGGGTAAGGAGGAGGTGGAGGACATGGGCCTGGGCTGGATGGAGGCCTGCTGCATGGCACTGGACCTCCATGCTGCTGAACCGGCTGTTCAGGTCAGTCCCATGACCTTTTGAGCTACTCAGATATGTAACACAGAATCACTTTGATAATCAGAGTCTCTCTGATTGTCTTCCACTGCGTCAGGAAGCCGCCAGCTGGGCCATTCACAATCTGTTACTGCACGGAGCCGGAGTGAGCCAGTCAGAAGAGGAGCAAGACGAGAGGTAACAGTGAAACACAAAACACACACACACACACACACACACACACACACACACACACACACACTTCCTGTACAGATGTGTATCACTGGTTGTCATTTGTTTGCAGTGTTACTTACTCTAAAAGCCCACGTACCGATCTGTGAAATGCAAAAATTTCCACAGACAGTTGAGTATGGAGAATCTCTCAGCAGAAAAAGGAAAGCTTCATAATTTCATGAAAATAACTTTTGACCCATTCAAGATAAAGAGTATGCGATTTGAAATTAGAGAACACACAATGCACTACTGTGATGCATGGTATAAGAAGACATTAGAATAATGAATTAAAATGAGTTGGTTTGATATTGTGCGGTGGTTTTCAGGACTCCTGTTCACAGACAGTTAATGGCGGCCATGCTGCTCCACTCCTCGTCTCCCAGCGTGTTTGAAGCTGCTACCAGTGCTATTGCCACGCTCATCATGCACAACAGTGAGTCTTCAACAGTGCACACTAAGCAGCTATAATGTTTGCATATCAATGTGTTACATCGTTTATAAATAATGCGAAAGAGGTTCATCATGTCACCTGAATTTACAGCTCCCTTCTGCCTTACAGAGTTTATAGTTAGGCTCAGCTCTAAGCTATTTGTGCTGCAACTGCAAATGTATAAATAGTGGTTCGTTGCTGCAGCGTCTGCTTTGCTCTGTTTGCAGATAAAATGTGTTCTCTGCTGCTGTCCAGAGGCCTTCATGTCAATCTAGTGGAGATGATGAAGAGACATTCGACCTCAGTTGAAGTTTCCATCAGCGCCTGCAAACTGCTCAACCTGCTCTTCCAGGGAAGGTAGGTGAACGACAGTTTCCATTCTATGCCTTTGTGTTGGCTTTTTGGAAAATCATTCAGCAAAGAAAAGTCAACATGGGGAAAAAAAAAGCTTTATGAGCAGTCAATGGTTGTTTTTTAGTAATGCACTTTTGTGTGCAGACATTTAGTTTAACAATTAAGCAAAGATATCTCCTCACACTTTTCTAAACACAATGTCTATGAACTATTTTCGGGTTTGCTGTCAAAGTTGTGTGCCGTCTTGGACAATGTCTCACACCCACTCAGACACAGGAGAACATTCAGTGCTAGACTCATCCCAACATGATGCACCACAGAACGCCACAGGAGGTCATTCCTGCCAAGAAACTCTATACCTCCTCCCTTTGAGAGAGTCATACACTTAGTCTTTAAAATGTCCTGGACTTATGTATTTACACTCGAAACTGGGAAATTCTCCATTTTATGTACAATTATGTGCAGTACTCCAAGCATTAGCTACACAGTTGAACACTGCTCATGCATATTTGTAAATATTCTACACATGTTCATATATTCAATTCACTGTGCTTATTGTGTTTAAGAGCAACTGTAGCGACCAAATTTCCCCCTCGAGATTAATGAAGTATTTCAGATTCTGATAACTTGTCTCTCTGCATCTGTAGGACAGCCAGTCTAGATGAGCTGAACATGGCCATTAGTCAGATCCTTTGCACCATGAAGGTCCACAACTTCCACCCTGAGGTTCAGCTGGAGGCTCTGCAGGCCAGCCTGGTCTTCCTCTGCCCAGGTACGCTCAAGTTTATTTCACAGACATATATTTATTTATCATGCTTTTAATATTTCACACACGTTCACTTGAAGCCCATACGTTCTCACATGTGTGTGGTTACAGAAACATGCCATGAAAAATACATTAATAGTCTGTGGCACACTGAAAATGACTTCAAGCGTTTAGCCAGTAGCTTCCTTATGTTCGCACAGCCAGGGTGCTGGATAAAGGAAGTTATTGGAGGTTGAAGTTGAGGAAATATCACACAGCTATGGAAAAGTGTTTTTCAGTAGAGTCTAAAACCAAAACAGAGTCAAAGAAGAGGGAACATGGGGTCAACACTACAGAATAACAGCGACAAATGCTTCTCCTACTCAATAATCTGTGTTTACAGTATGTACTCGGTCCTGTACTTTCAGTGTGTTGTGGAACTAAGAACTTAAAGGAACAGCTCTAAATACAGCTGTTCATGTTCTGGGACTTTCAGGAAAAACAAGCCTGCATGTTCAGTTTTTAATAGTTTTTCTCTGAACATGAATTAGTCAGCGTCTGTGTTGTGTGCATAAAGAAGACAATCCTCTCAAAGGCAGGACAATAAATCTGATTTGTGATAATTCTCCAGTTGTAAGACATGAGAACAACACATTTTCTATGTTGAGTATGGATATGTAAAGCTGCTAGTTTTGTTTGAAAGTGGCTCATCATGAGGTTATGATGTGCTGTGTCTCTGCTCCTAGCGCTGCACTCGTTCTGCTTTCTAATTAGATTAGTTATTGATAACAGAGCGTCTGTGTCTGTGTCTGTGTGTGTGTGTGTCTGTGTGTGTGTGTGTGTGTGTGTGTGTGTGTGTGTGTGTGTGTGTGTGTGTGTGTGTGTGTGTGTGTGTGTGTGTGTGTGTGTGTGTGTGTGTGTGTGTGTGTGTGTGTGTGTGTGTGTGTGTGTGTGTGTGTGTGTGTGTGTGTGTGTGTGTGTGTGTGTTTGCTTGCTTCTTTGTCTTCACTCGTTTCGTTGGTGTTCTCTGAATTCCCAGACAGGAGTTTGAGGGAGCATGGCGTCTCTGTGTCAGATCCGGACATGGCCGACGTGTCACTGAAGGTCCTGAAAAACCAGTGCGTGGTGGAAGGAGCTCACACTCTCTACCTAGAGGTTCTCAACAGGGTAAAAAAAACACCAATCAACACAAAAACATCTCTCTCATAGGGCTGGGCGATATGAATAACACATTTTCATTTAAGTCGATATTGATAATTATCACCATACATTTCAAATCAGTATTTCTTTCAAATTGAACAGCAGATTCAACAACTAGTGTTTGAGGTTCAAAACACACACAAAAAATGTATATTGAAAATAATGATATCCGATAATTATTGTTTTATTGGCCAGGCCTACTCTCTGATACGCTCCACGTCTTGTCACTTTGTGGTTTTATTTCTGTCCTTGCCTGCTTTGAAACAATAAAATGACAAATAAATTCACAAAAACTATTTAAATTCAAGGGCAGTAGCACTGAAAAGGCAACCTAAGCAGCCTCTTTGCACATAATGATACACAGTGTACAAAGACTGAGCCACAGTACATATAGTTCTCCTCATTCATTACATAGATTCAACCACAGGTCGTCCATTCATTGTAGGAATTACACAGTACAAAGTGCTCTACATCGGAAGGATGTAATTACATTTCTAAGAAGGATTTTCCAGCTGCCTTACTGGTATGAGGGAATGGTGAGCATATATTTTTTTCTCTGTGCCTCAGAGCAGGATGTTAACAACAGACAACGCATGGTCATAAACATGGTGTATTATAGACAGCAAGTCTTAATGCAGAGCATAACACTGTGGTATTGGTTAATGCAAAGCACTGTGTTCATGCTTCTATATTGTGTCCTGTGTTAGTTTTGTTGCAATTAAATAACCCGCAGTACTGCTTTCTTTATATTTTTGTAACAACGACTTACATCCTAAGATGCAGACACAGTATAATGAGCTTTAATCAGCAAGATGTTAAGTTGTGTTTTTTGTGTTGCGTTTCAGTTCATCAGCAGCCCCATCATACAGAAGTGCGGTCTGAAGGTGCTGTCTGCTCTGGCTGACTGCTCCGGTGCCGTGGACTTGCTCTGCCAGCAGGGGGCGATAGACACAGTGCTGCATACACTACAGATGTTCCCACAAGAACGAGGTACAGTGTACTTTTGTCATTAACAGCAGATAACCAGCATGTCAGCTGAGTGAGATTTTTATCAGTTTAATAATTGCATTGGAGAAAGAAAATCCGGTGAATGTGAAACTTAAAGAGATATTATTAATGGAAATCTAAGTGTGGCCTCTACCATGACAGTCTGACGACCTGAGGAATTTGATAAAAATCTTCACCATACCATTGAAATATTATGATTCCCTTATCTGAAATGACTAATCATGGCTCCACTGGCTCTCCATTGTCTTCCAGAAATACACTACTGGGGTCTAACCCTGCTCCACTACCTCGTATCCAAAAAGAAGCTGTCGAGGATGATCGTACCCGTTCTGGCCTCTGTTGTGGTCGCCTCACTCATCCAGTACAGAGAAGACTCTGAGATGCTTCTGAAGGTGAACTCAGTGATATAACTAGCTGACTATAGATCAATTGACTATTAAAGTGCTGTCTCCTTAAGTTGAGGAAAACATTTGTATTTTGTGAGTCGAGACATTCATGATGACATTTTCTCTCTGGTCTCATGTCCTGCAGGGGTTTCAGGTATCTTTGAGAATGCTAGATGCGTGTTCAGGTGCAGCTGCTGCGCTGCAGAGAGAAGACTTAGACAGGCTGATCTTCCAACAACTCCGAGTGGAGACCCCGGACCAGAGCAACAACCCAGTGAGTGAGATTTACAACCTTCCCCTGTTTTGTTTTCTCCTCACCTCAGTCTGTATTTGGAGGCTCCAATTTAAAATCTAAATTTAATAATCAAGTTTCTGCAATACAAATTACCGGTAGATTAAAGCATCATTATGTCCCTGTAATGTTCCAGTTTGATCTCCTGTTTCAATCTTAATTAAATCCTGTAAATGAGTTGTCAGTCTAGCACAGGCTGCAGTGTACGCACACTGGAACATACAGTCCAAACGACTGTGAAGGGCATTCCACAGATGCCTCATTAGACATGTAGGTTACTCGTCTACTTCTTGGAAAGTTCTTAAAGAGCCTTGCAGATAAGACCGGAGAACTTCACCATAACTTAATAAAACAGAATTGGAAACATTCCTCTTAAACGTGCTTTTCTTTCTCTCTTTGTCTTCTGAAAGCTGCGTAAGTCGGTGTGCCTGGTGCTGTCTAAGATGTTGTGCGACTCAGAGCTGCACTACAGCATGCTGGAAAAGGCCTGCGAGGATGGAGACACCACCCTGGCAGAGTGTCTGATCGAGCTGGGCGCTGACATCAACAGGAAGACCAAAACCGAATCTCTCATCTACCAGGTTAGAGGCCACGACGAAAAACAAAGGCCAGCATTGAGGGGGAACAAATCCAGCAGTTCAAGAGTGACATTAGGTCATGAAGAGCTAATCAGGAAAAGTTATAGTTTCACTCCGGACTCAAATGACTTGGACCTTTTAGCCACACTTATGAGTGGTGTGTATGTATCTTTGACTGACCACACTAAAATGTCTGAAACTATTGGAGATCTTGCAATTGTCAAACTTCTATTTTTTTTATTATTTGCGAAAGTAACTATGCTCTTTTTGTGTGTGTGAAAACAGGTGCAACCATTACAAGTGCAAGACAGTGTAAAACATACAGAACATAGAGAGGGAGGGCAGTTAAGACTACTTTGAAAATCTTACATTTTCTAAATCAAACGTTTAGCCATGTGTTCCCATCAGTCTTCATTTTCATTCAAGATAACAATACTTGGATACTTAGTTTTTAGAAATAAGTTCAATTTTTTTTTAAGTACAACAACTTAACCTAATTGAAAATGTTTAAATTGGCCAAACTGAGATTTTAATCAGGTAAAATTTGATCAAGATGCCCTCTGTGACCAGACAGTGTTTGGTACATGACAGCTGTAAATACTTTTTTTGCAGATTCCCCTCCAATACTAAGCTCTACTTATAGATGACTGAGTTACTATAATAATCAGTTTAATCCCAGCTGTTGCCACTGTGCTATCTTTTTCAGGTGTGTGAGAGAGGCGGACCACTTGACCTGGTTGAGCTTCTGCTCAGCCGAGGCGCCCACGAGCAGTACCTCCGCAGGGCTCTGGCTGTGAGCGTGAAGCGTGGCGACGGACCCACAGTAATCCAGCTGCTGGTCCGTCTGGGTCTGGACCTCAACAACAGCGCCCTCTGCCTCGGGGGCTTTAGGCTGGGCCGCTTGGACTCAGCCTGGCTCAGCCCCCTGCTGGCTGAACGGGGACGATGCACCTTCCGTTACAACAACAGTGAGGATACTTTTTCTCACTTTACAATATTAAATATTTGCCATGATTTGTATTCTTCTGATATTTTCTTTATAAAACAATTTCTAGGTTTTTTTTTTAAATGTTGTCTTCTTACTTTAAGGTAAAGGTAAGAGCTTGGCGAGGTACATTGAGTCTTTGCAGAAGTCCAAGAGCAGCAGTGGTACTCCCAGGTCTCTGGCCGACCCCTGTCTGACCTCCGGCTACATCTCTGAAGAGAGCGACGACTCGAACTTCAGCTTCGTCTCCGCGGAAGACAGCTTGTTTTACAACGATGACATGGAGAGTGACGGTAAAGTTTAATCCTGCAGAACACACATCAAACATGAATCACATGCAGAGTCAAATTCAGTGAAAAAGAAACCGTTTAACCTTTCTCAATCAACTCGACATATTCTTCTGATTTGTTCTAATAAGTTAATTTAGTATGTCAACATTTAGAAGTTAAAAGTGAAAAGTCATAATCAATATATCTGAATGCAGTGTGTATTCTACAAATACGATCCGCTTATATAAAGTGTTGTGCTTCTCAGTGGTCTCACACTCGGGAGAAAATCTTTTAAATGATAAAGTAATCAAACATTTTTACAGCACAAATAGAAACAGATACACATGCAGCGAGGTGCTGTAACTACTGAAGCTGGATTGATTGATTGGTCTTTGTTTTGAATGTGTCAACAAAACAAGAGTAAATACAGAACAAAAAAAAAACGAGAATATAAAAAGTAAACATAAACATTGGAGTTCTGTATGTGACTCAAAGCAAACAGTCCATGTTCAGAAAGTAGAAGATGAAGTTAACACTTATTTTACCTACACCTAATCTGCTAGTCACTAACTATTAACACTAATAAAGGGGCGTCGGGTGGCCAAGCGGTTGTGTTGTGTGCCCCATGTACAGAGGCTATTGTCTTCATTGCAGCAGCCATGGGTTGGAGTCCAACCTTGTTCCCTTTGCTGCATGTAAATGATTAATGGAGCTTGTATCTCTTTTCTAGTCTTCTGACTACTCAAAACGCTTTTACTCCGCAGGTCACACCTACACATTCACACCCTGATGGTAGATGTAAAGTGACCATCAGAAGTAATTAACCCTCTGCTTCACACACAAGCTGCTGATGAAGCAGCGGGTGTAACTTGGGGTTGAGTGTCTGGCCTAAGGACACATCGGACATGTGGCAGCTGTCTGATGTAATTAAGGCAAAAAGGGTAGAAAATATATATAAAAAACAAACAACAAAACAACTGTCTAGAATCAAGTCAGTGCTACACTGAAGTTCACTTCATATAGCTCTCATATACGTGAACTAAACTGCACCTCAAACTGAGATGGAAAAGATATAACAGCTGGTTAATTTCAGGTAATATCGTGCTCACATGTGACTTTGTTTTTTCCTTTTGTAGGAAGCGATTCTCTGTCAGGAGTTCTGTCCCCGAAGCCGCATAATAGTTCATCAGAAGAGCTGAGGGGAGGATCGTACAATAGGAAGCACGGCCGTCGCAGACATGCCAGTGCAGAGGTAAACACATGATCATTTACATTCTTAAATTGATGCTCTTAGTTGTCCCCCCTCGTAATAGAGCTGTAAATCACAACGAATGATGACCTTTTTCTCTCTGCACATATTACTCACTGGTGTCTGGTTGTATTTCCCTCTCCAGAGTAATCTAACAGAGAGTGAACATAGTGAGCCTCTACACCGCAGAAATGGAAGGATCGGCACAGGCCAAAAAGGTATTTCCATCAGATTCATTTGTTGAAGGCATAACTTTTTTTTGTGTGTGTGTGTGTGTGTGTTTTTTTTAGCTTATATACGAGTAATAATGTATTTTATTATCATTTTTTATGCACCACCAGCTCAGCTTGTTCCACACCTTCACTGAAAGTACACTGTTGCTAAGCAACCCAAACATTCTACTGCACTCTTGCTACTTGTTTGTTTCCATGGTTACCACTGACCAATTACTTTGTTGTATGTACATTTGCCTGGTTACGTTAGTGAAATAACTAGTATTTCGCTAACGTAACCAGGCAAATTGTATAATATCTAATTTAACTTTCTGCTGGTACTTTAATAATTTGGCAAAATAGAAAAACATTTTGGACACTACTCGCTCATTACTCGCCGCAGACAATGACGTCCTTACGGTCACATGTTTGTCGTCTTCATTGAGAAAAATTTCACTCCTTTGAAAATGATTACTTTTTTCAAACCACCTTCTACTTTTCGGTCAAAATGCCCCCAAATATCAACTTTTGTCTCTATTGTGTTGTGTGTTCACGGTGGGTACATGCTTCTCTGTGAGCAATTAAACGCCACTATCGGCTCACTAAAAACTTTGAACCGCAATGCATGATGGTATATATTGCTTGGATAGTGACCTTCGGTTGTACAATACTTTTCACAAAGGCATTGTGGGATACAGTGCCAACAGTGTTAAAAAAAATAATCTTCCTCTACTGCCTGTGATTGATCTCTTTTATTAAACACCTTGCTTCCATCAGAATAAATTAACCCTTTGTGGCCTCCTCAGTGCTTGTATCTGCGGAGAACTCGGCTGCTCTGCCCAAAGAGAGGGAGAGGATCCGCCTGCTGGACCTGTCCGGTAACGAGCTGGACTCGCTCTCCTGCCTGATGGATGACAGCTTCGTCCAGCAGCAGCTTGGACATCTTCTCCGCCTGGACCTGAGCCACAACAATCTGCTGGAGTTTCCTGCAGCTCTCTGCCAGGTTATTTATCTGCTATGTGCTTAATCACTAAGATATTAAATCATTTAAAGGAATAATGGAAAGTCAAGGATTCTTCTTTGTGATTTGGCACAGAGTTTAAAGAGTCTGACTCGACTGGACCTGCAGGGAAACCAGCTCCGGTCGCTGCCTGAGGAGCTGCTGTCTCTGCTCTCTCTGAGCACGCTGAACGTCTCTCGAAATTGTGTGGGCCCCTTACTGACATTTGACCACGCCGTCACCTGCCCGTCTCTGCGGCAGCTTAATCTATCTTTCAACAAAATCGCCACATTTCCTGACGAGCTGGGCCACGCCATGGGTCACCTGGAGGAGCTGTTTATGGAGGGGTAAGCTACTGGTTTGAAATTAAGGAGGGAAAGTGTGTTTTTAACAGGGCTGTCTCATTTAAGTGGAGGTTTTGGGGATTTTGATCTTTTCAGCATTTGCAAGACTGAATTTCTTAGAAAAAAAGCTTAATTGAATGCACTTCCTTTAAGTCCTTTTTTTATGGTCTTAATGTGATGGTTTCTGTGTGGAGGAAACACATACAAATGATCTGGCCTCATTCAGAAAGAGAAGACATGGAAATTATGAAATCTTGATAACGGACTTTAACATTACATAGCAGAACGTCCAGTGATAAAGGGGGTATTTCCTAACATATGAATGAGCGCCATTATAACGTTCATTGTGTGTAAAGGGCTTGAAATTGTGGCCTCCGACCTCATCAGTACAGATATGTTATCAGATTGTTGGCTGCTGTCCAATTTAATCCTGGTAAAACAAAAAAAAAGAATTCTCAGAAAATGGCATTCCAAGCAGATTACCGTTGTGCTGTGATGTTGTTTAGTAAAACTTACTATAACCAGAAGGCTTACTAGTAAGCTGCACATTCCTCTGTTCTTTGAAAACAGAACATGTTTGAAATGAATTTATGTCAAATATGGGATATGCGGGTTTTTTTGCAACACTTTGAGCCCAAGACAAATTTGTCCAAGGGGGACAATAACGTGTATCGTCTCAAATCATATCTTCTGGTATCGTCTTGTATTGTCTCGTACAATACTGACACATCCTTAAAACGTAGAGATTTTCCTGGTAGACAACCAGAAATAAAAGCTTTCGATAAAGAGTTTAAATGTATTTGAAATAAGTTCTTAAAAATCTAACTTTATTTAAATAGCACAAGTCAGACATCCAATGCGCAGCTGAACATAAAATAGTTTGAAACAACTTGAGTTTAAATTGAAAACATTTAAAAACCATTAAAAAATATTGTTAATAGAAAACAGTGCAGGTCTAAATATACTGACAATAAGTAAAAGCGAAGCTAAAAGACTTCCACACTCTTTCAGGTCTTCCCACAGGCTGGGGTCTTAGTTACTAAATTCAGGCTGACATATTCTGCTAACAAGCAGAACATAATAATAACCTTTTAATTTCTTTTCATCAGCAGAGTTGTGATTATGTTTCTGTTCTCTTTTCAGGAACAGTATAACGGAGCTGTGTACGCCTCCGTGTCTGCCCGAGATCAAGCTGCTGGATGTGAGTAAGAACAGTGTGGAGAATATTTCTCCTGACTTCCTGACGGCCTGCCCCAAACTGGAAACTTTCAATGTCTCCATGAACAAAATCTGTGAGTACTTTACCTTCAATGGATTACTACATCACAGTCACACTGAGCTTGATTTTTGTTTGCACGTGTGTGTTTACACATTCAAAGCAAGCCGAGTATATTTGTTGAGCACATTTCAGCAACAAGGCAAATCAACGTGCGCACAAATCATCGAAAGCATCACGATAACGGTCAGAAAAACACATTCAAAGAGGACATTTAAAAATCTTTGAAACAAAATCTTAAAAATCACTGAGAAGAAATAAAATATAAACGGCTAAAATATAAGAAGAGACATGTAAAAGTTACAGTGCAGAGTAACATTGCTAAAAAAAAGTAATTATCAAACAAAACCATCATCATCAAAATCATCATCAGTTCAGATAGGTCAGTATATTGATTGAAAAGTGTATCAATGAATTTCATCAGTAAATCAGCAATCATCAGTTATCTAGTGCTGAATTTCAAGAAACCAGATATTTCTCCAATGTTTAAATGTATCTTTGCATTAAAGTAGTTCTATTTGTAAATGAAAAATTATGTGTCAGGCAAACAGAAAACAATCTTTCTTTCTCTGCAGGTTCTCTGTCGAACCTCTCATCAAAGATCACTACACTGAAACTGGCAAACAACAGCTTCACTCACATTCCTGAGGCTGTACTGAATCTACCAAAGTAAGTCAGATTAGCCAGAGCTTGAGTTATTCCTGTATTTTATCTTCGTATTTAGCAATCATTTTATTTTTCATTTCTTGCAATTGTCCAGCTTGCGGTCGGTGGACATGAGAACCAACCACATTGCTGCTCTGCCAGGTCCCGGGTCCTGGGAGTCCTGCAACCTCGGAGAGATGATGTTCAGTCAGAACTGCATCACAGCTCTGGATCTGAGTGGACCCATCTACAAGTGGGCCAGACTGGAGAAACTTCACCTGAGTGACAACAAACTCACTGAGGTATAGAATATTTAACCTCAATAGTTTTTTTTTAATTTATTCAGCCAGTATGCGTCCTTGAATGGTTGTATTGTCTTTGTTTAGATCCCTCCACAGATCGGCCTGCTGGAAGGCCTGACCTCTCTGGACGTGAGTCGTAACACTAACCTGCGATCTTTCCCCGATGAGATGGGGAAACTGAGCCGACTGTGGGACCTGCCTCTGGACGGCCTTCGACTCCAGCTCGACCTCAAACTCATCGGCATCAAGACCAAAGACATTGTCAGGTCAGGGTCAGGTGTTTATAGCATAGGACATTAAACTATTTGAATAACATCCGCTTATCCAAACTGCACAGCTCTTCAAAGTTTTAAGCAATACAATGAAAAAAAATCCTGATAAATGAGTCGTACTTAACCTCCTCCCTCTCTCCCAGGTTCCTGCAGCAGCGTCTGAAGAAGGCCGTGCCGTACTACAGGATGAAGCTCATCGTGGTGGGGAACGCAGGAAGCGGGAAAACCACCCTAATTCAGCAGCTGATGAAGCTAAAGCGCTCCCATGTGAACTCGAAGCTGACTACTGCTGGCATTGATGTCCAGGACTGGACCATCAGGGAACGGGACAAGAAGAAAATGGTGCTGAACGTCTGGGACTTCTCAGGTCTGTTAACGTGTGGTCTTTGTCTTTTGTTTAAGGACAATAATCATTTAAGACATAACTAAAAAAAAAAAAAACAAGTCAGAAATGGTTTATGGTTGGTTTAGGCTTGTTTGTAAATATTATTTTACGGCTATGACATCAAGCCTATCACTGAGCAAGGAAGATGTACCAAATTGAACCACTAGGTGTCACTCTTGACACATCTTCTGATGCAACTAGTTCCACCTATGAATTTGTATACAGGCACAATATAAAATTGATCATGTGTCATATTTAAAAAAAGATCAAACTATTCAGGTCCACGTCATCAGTTTATTGTACAAAGAGGACAGTGGATAGAGTTAAAAATCGGGGATCGAGATGGATTGGGGAATGACATGCAGGAAAGGAGCCACAGGTCCCATTTGAACCTGGGGCGCCCCAATGAGGACTACAGCCTCTGTACATGGGGCACACGCACTAACCACTAGCTCACCAGCTCCCCAACAGAAGCTTTTCTGAGAGGAATAAAGCAAGAGATTCTAAGGGGACATACAGTATCCGTATGTCTTACATCTGACATGTTTTAATAGAGTGATTTATGTTAATCATACATATATGATAAGTATCCTTATCAGCTGGAAGGACTCAGTGTCACTCTCTGCTTCTGCAACCCCCGCAGGTGGAGAGGAGTTCAGCGGCTCTCACCCTCACTTCCTGACCTCCAGAGCTCTGTACCTGGTGGTTTACAACCTCAGCAAAGGAGCCAGTCAGGTGGATGCCCTCAAACCCTGGCTCTTCAACATCAAAGTGAGTCATCATTAACCAAAGCTTCACCTCATTCTGATGGAATACTGCTAAAATGCATTTAGGTTTTAGATTGACAGTTTCATACAATTTGTAAGAAACTCCAAACCAAGGACCAAGTGTTCTCCAGTATCCACTTTTAATTTCAGTAAAGCAACAGTAGATTTTTTATTTCGCGATGGTGTACCAACTGGTTATCAACTTTTGACCGCTGGCATTATCTGCTGTCAATTTAATCACACAGTTCAGGGCGATGATTTATTGTCTTTTCCAGCCTTTGAATAACCCTTGCACTAATTGACTTCAGGCCGTAGCTCCTCAGTCTCCGGTCATCCTGGTGGGAACCCACACAGACGTGAGTGACGAGCTGCAGCTTCAGGCTTGCCTTAAGAAGATCAGAGAGGAGCTGCTGAGCCACCAGGGCTTCCCCGCCATCAAAGACTACCACATTGTCTCCGTCTGCGAGGACTCGGACTCCCTGACCAAACTCCGCAAGGCCATCGCCCGGGAGATCACCAGCTTCAAAGTAAAGGACATAAACGGCAGATAAACATTTACTGTCTTTACCTCTCCTCTCTGCTGACCTCACCTTCTCGTCTCTACTTTATACAGATCCAGGGCCAGCCCGTCATGGGTCAGCTGGTTCCAGACAGCTACGTGGAGCTGGAGCGCCGGGTTCTGCAGGAGAGAACCAGGGTTCCCCCTGAGTTCCCCGTTCTCAGGAACCAGGAGCTGCTGCACCTCATCCAGGAGAGTCAGCTGCAGCTGGAGGAGGCCGAGTTGCCGCACGCCATCCACTTCCTCAGGGAGGCCGGTCAGTCTATTCAGGGATAGTTTCAAAAATAAATTCAATACATTCAAGAGTACACAGGCCTTACTAAGTGGCTGACTTTGGTGTACCTAAATTAAATAAAGTGTCCTAAGTCACAGCTGTACCCACCTTATTGAATTATAATGTGGTAACATGTAGCAGACAAACCACAGGCTGACCCTGAAACGACTCTTATATAAGTGATTGCACGAGTTTAAATTGAACTTCCCTTTATCAAATGTTGGATTATTAATTCACTTGATGTTTTAAATACTTTCTCAATGATCAAAACTTTAATTTCTTCTCCTCCATCACTGCAGGGGTTTTACTGCACTTTGATGATCCCGCACTTGAGCTCCAAGACCTCTACTTCATCGACCCACAGTGGCTGTGCAACATCATCTCCCAGGTATCCTCATCTGAACACACAAAGAAGTCTCAAAGGCTTCAGATCTTTAATACCTCTGTCTTACTTAAGTAAGACTGTAATCTTAGTGGATAAAAGGCAAGAACACAGTCAGGATATATTAAGAATGATAGTGCAACGCTAGGAGGTGATTTGATATTTGCTGCCGCTCTGTAAACTAAAAGCAATTTCTGCCACTTAGAGCGGGTTAGGATGTTTTTATTGGGCAAAAAAAAAGAAAAAAATCTGATGACACTAGTTTGCATCGCTTCTGTGAAACTGTTCCGATTCAAAAAAAGCTACAGTAACGGGTTTCTGGCTTGATGCTAATTATGACAGCATTTCACAGTTCTTTATTTTCAAGTGACATTTTTTATTCATGTGCTTGAATAACGTTCTTTTAAAGGTCCTATATGTAAGATATTTAGTGAATGAAATGATAAAGTGACCTTACTGTATGATCAGACATTAAGGAAACATGCCAAGTGCTGGCTTCTCTGACAACAATGCAGCAGTCAGTATGTCCTCCTTCTAAGTTAAGATTCTGGTCCTGAATGGTCTGGATTTGTTTGGACCAGAGAAGGTAGGCGGTTTTAAGGCACCCCCACACGGCTGTTTAGGACGCCCCTCGGTTTTCCAGATATGAGACCAGTTATCAGGTCAGACCAACAGGTGTTGCAGCTTGTTGAAGGTACAGAATAGTTAAGGGACTTGTGTGATGTTGCACTGATGTTGTCTGCTCCCTGTTCAGAAACTGACTTTAAAGGGCTGCGGCCTCTGGGATCATCCGAAAGGAGTCGTTCAGCGCTCAGTGGTGGAAAAGTTTCTGTCCGAGACCAAATGTTTCCCTCTGAGCCACCTGACGCAGTTCTTCAAACTACTGGAGAAGTTTCAGATCGCTTTACCCTTCAGTGACGACCAGCTGCTGATACCCAGCAGGTACTTATTAAATATACAGCCATGGATGCTATATGGGGATTGTGGTTTTGTACAAACATCACAGACCTCTTATCCTTTCCTTTTACAGTTTGCCCAAACACAGACCGATGATAGATTTACCTCACTGCGAGAACTCTGAGGTGATTGTGCGTTTGTACGAGATGCCGTACTTCCCCATAGATTACTGGTCTCGACAAATCAGCCGCCTGCTGGAGTTCTCTTCTTATCTGCTTTGTGGAAGAGGTAAATTAAATGTACAGTACAGAGATTCTCTGTTTCATCAGGGATGCAATTCAGCAGTTATACTGTATATTCAAAGACAGAGCCCAGTGATTTCTAACCTCATTTTTATGATGTGTATGTTTTAGAAAAAGTGCTACGACCGAACCGGATCTACTGGAGGAGAGGTCTGTACCTGAGCTGGTCCCCAGAGGCCTATTGCCTGGTGGAGGCAGACTCGGGGGATCAGAACCCCTCCTGCTTCGTCAGGATAACCGTGCCCTGTTCACGCAAAGGTGGAGTTCCTTCCTTATTTTTCTATCAAATCATCAACCCTCACTGCACTTATTGCATAACTTCATTTTTGGGCAAATTTAGTGGCCCTGACTTATTTTTGTTGTCAATTTTTGCTCATCTAGTATATAAAATGTACAATACAGTAATATCACTGGTAGATAATATTAATAATGTAGTCTAGCATGAGGGGGGTGATGTTTATGGATAAGAATTATAGTGCAGGAATAGTTAACCTCTCAGTTATCTGTTTTATATATTATATTAACGAGCAGATATGAGATAAGATTTTATAAACCTGACAGTCTTTGCATGTATTGATCATTTCTGTCTCCCCTCCCTTCAGGCCGGGTGCTGCTGGGTCAGGTGGTAGACCACATCGACTCTCTCCTGGAGGAGTGGTTTCCCAATCTGCTGAACACGGACATGCACGGCAGCGGCGAGGCGCTGCTGAAGAAGTGGGCTCTCTACAGCTTTGAGGACAGGCAGGGGTGGAGCAAGATTCTGCTCGAGGATCTCTTTACCCGCTTTGACAACGGTAAAAAAGAAAATCACACCAATGAGACGATGAGAAGACTCACTTTAATCATTCCACATGCAGATAATCTGACATCTGCTATGTTGATGCTATGTCGAAATTGCGTTACTCTCCGTCCCGCGGTGCAATACAACCAAAATAGAGTAAAATAAGATAAGGTAAAATCGATCAAATAAAATTAGGTAAAATAAGATAAATAATATTTACAGTAATAAATTCTAAATTGTGCAAAAGGTACAAAATGGTAAATAAAATAAAATACAATTTAAAGAAAAAGTAAACTTGTGCAATATGTGCAATGTGCAGTAAACTGATTGTACTTTTGAATAGTTTCAACGGGGGCTTCAACGTCCATTATGTTCTGTGTCGTAGATTTCCTGCTGGTCAGCCCGGAGGATCCCCGCTGCACACTTCCCATCTCTCAGATTGCTCCTGACTTGGTGCTGAGTGACCAGCCTGCAGGAACAATACTGGACAGTGAAGAGCTGCATGTGGACGGGTCCAAAGAGAACCGACTGGGTACACTGAGTTCTTAAACCTTTGACTTTTGATTAAGACCCACAGTTGGTTCTTCTCCTGTTGGTGTCTTTTTTCATTATGGCTCTATGTTTGTCTTGATCTAAAACATGTACTCATGTTGCCTTAAGATTATTAAAGGATACTCATGAACATGTGTTTTTGTTTGCAGGGGATGGTGGCTTTGGAACTGTGTACCGAGGTGTCTATAAAAACGAAGAAGTAGCTGTGAAAATATTCAACAAACACGCGTCTGAGCTCTACATCTACAGACTCCTCAGACAGGTACCATTACATAAAAGAAACAACTAAATCTGCCTCATTCCTGGCCTCTGGCTAGAAGAACTAGCAGCAGGTTTTACTTATGAAAACTGTTAGTATGTATTTTGAAATAGTCACTCATCTTGGTCAATTTGTGGATATATTTTAAACTAGCTCAGTTGGTAAGGCAGACTTCTGCCTGTTGTACATTTCATTTGTTTCCTGCCTCTCTTCAGCCGTCCGATGCAATAAAAGACAAAGGCCAAAATAATTAAAAAACAAACTACAAGATGCCTTTGGATGAGAGATCCTAGACAGCAAATTGACAAAGTGCCTCTCTTAATCACGATTTCCAATAGCTATCTGCCCGTTACTTTTTAGAAATAGAGGTGGTGATTTTTCTGGCAGCATCTCTCACTTACTTTCTCCTCTCTCTCTGTTGCTCTCCAGGAGTTGACGGTGTTGGGTCGCCTCCGTCACCCCAGCCTTGTGGGCCTGCTGGCCGCTGGCTCATTCCCTCAGGTCCTGGTGATGGAGCTGGCTCTGAGAGGCTCCCTGGACTCCTTGTTTGAACACGAGAACGGCAGCCTCAACAGAAAGCTCCAGCACAGGATCGCCCTGCAGGTGGCAGACGGACTCAGGTAGAAATCGAGGATGACAGAGTAACATTTCTTGGTGCTGTGAAGTTTTATTTTAGTTAGTATTCAGACGTTAATTGATCATATCCTTTGTTTGGGGGTTGCTATCAGGTTTTGTAAGGTGTTATGACATAGTCTTGTGATGTTGAAGTTCATGATATGATACACTTTATTGTCCATTTGTTAAATTTGTCTTGGACTTCAGTGCTGCACACATTTAGCTACCTTCACATTTGCATCAGTAAAGAGCCACTGTTGTATCACATAAATCATGTATCCAAAATAACCATAAGGTTTGTGTTATGTTTTCATTTATAAACACACAGGTCTAAAAATCGGTTTTAAAAAGATGGCAATTGTAGAGTGCCAAATGTGCAGATTAGAAAAAGGCAATCCTCGTAATTGTTTAAACTTTGTTATCAGGTACCTCCACTCAGTCATGATCATCTATCGCGATCTCAAGCCTCACAACGTCCTTCTGTTCAACCTGAAGACCGACTCCGAGATCATTGCCAAGATCACGGACTACGGCATCGCTCAGTACTGCTGCAGCATGGGAGTGAGGAGCTCAGAGGGCACACCAGGTTAGACATCACTCCAACTCTTACCTCCTTTAATCTTTAATATTCATATTATGCTAAAATTACATCTGGCCAGAAATTCTCAAAAGCCAAAGCCTTTTGCTTCATTACAGTATGATATATAATTTAACTTTGCTCATCAATACATTTTATTGTATGTCTTGCAGGATTTCGTGCACCTGAGGTTGCCCGGGGTAACGTGATCTATAACCAGCAGGCTGATGTCTTCTCATTCGGCCTGCTGCTCTACGACCTCCTGACTTGCGGTGAACGGATCTCTGACGGTATGAAGTTCCCCAGCGAGTTTGACGAGGTTGCTGTGCAGGGAAAACTGCCAGGTAATTCTCAGTCCTTTATTTTTAAATTATTTTTAGGGATTTTAAGCCTTTATTTAGAGAGGACAGTAGAGAGAGTTGGAAGCGGGGATGAAAGAGTGGGGGATGACATGTAGGAAAGGATCCGAAGGTCTGAGTTGAACCTTGGTCTTTGTATAAGGGTAACGCAGACCTTTTTCAATATTTAGATGTAGCATGACCCTTTTGTTTTTGTGCTTTTTATGTAAAATAGATGGCTAGATAAATACATTTTTTTAAATAATGTACAAAGTAAACGACTCAAATTCCTGGAAAGCACAATGGAAGTTCAACTTAAGGTCAGTTCTGTATTTTCTGAAACAGGTCTCCTTCGAAGTTCCTCATACCATAAATAAAATTAAATGTTTTACAGCCAGTAAACAACCAAATATTAATTCACAGAAAAGGATTCATCAGAAAACTTTAACTTGCATGTTTGTCTTGCACACAGATCCAGTGATACACTACGGTTGCTCTCCCTGGCCGGGCTTCCAGACCCTGATGAAGGACTGTTTAAAGGAAAGCCCTCAGAATCGACCCACCTCGGCTCAAGTGAGGACCTGAAAACTATAAAACTATGCTTTCAGGGTGCTGGTGCTCTCATTTGTACTGAGAAAGTTGGAAAAGGCAATGCAGTACAGAGACATGCTGCAAGAGCTACTTTCCAAACAGAAAACACTCTGACAGAGAGCAGCAGAAGGACAACATTTACAAGTTATGTCTCTGTCATGTGTGCAGGTGTTCGACAGGCTGAATTCAGGAGAGATGTTGTGCCTGATGAGGGAGCTGGTGGTGCCCAGGACGTTCAATGCTGAGTGCTTCACAGTGAGCTCTGGGAGCAGTGAGGGCCACAGAGCCTGGCTGGGGGGAGGCAGCAGCACTCAGAGACTCGGCTCTGTTACAGCCGTAGACCTGGACACCAACGTGGTCACCACACAGGTACCTGCACCTCTGTTATCACCTCAGGAATGAATGATACACAGATTGCTGAAGTTAAATTCTGTTATACAATCAAGCTGTTACAGAGAAAACAGGAGGAGCTTAACCACAAAGGTTTCATAACACTAGTCAGTTTATTTATAGCAGTTTTAAATATCAGCTGTTGAACCAATGCTCGATGTTCACGAGGTGGTTCTCTTCCTCCTACAGGAGATCGACAGCAGTCCTGTCCTGTGTCTTGTGACCGTCCAAATGCCACAAGAGGCCTGCAATTGGCTGGTTGCGGGCACCCAGTCTGGTTCCTTAGTGGTGATCAGCACTCAGGACACGTCGACTTGTCACCACCTGCAGAGTGTCACAGACGCTGTCACTTCACTCTACTTTCATGTGCACCCACGTCGCAAGTAAGTGTCTGGAAAAAAAACCCAAAAGAAAACAGACGTGATACTTTTGACGACCTTGTTCTTCTGCGGCTCAAATGCTGAGTGAAGTTCATGCTGTTTTGGCTGTACGATTTTTTTTGTTCAATTTATGGACTTTTCTGTCCTGATTAGAATAAGACGGGTTGAAAGACATACGGTTCAACTTTTTAAAAACCTAACTCATCCACATAAATGTTTGAGACAGAGGTGCTTGAGGGTGTTGTCAGAGGTTAATGAATAGCTGAGGTGAATTTGGATGAGCTGAGTCATCTAATGTCTGGAGTGACTTTGGAAACCTTGCTGTGTCCACACATACTGTTCTACCTGCATACACCAAAGCCTGCTGATACGTGATTGGCCAATACAGCTTGGCTTACAAATGTACTGCAACCAGAACACTTTACGGGCAGAACTTAGATTCTCTACTCATGACATTTTAGAGTATTGTGCACGTGTTAAACAAGACGCTACAGCTGTTTTAAATTTAAAAGTCTTTTGATGTTTTTCTTTCTTTCAGCCAGAGGAAGAATTACTTGTTGGTTGGGACAGCTGATGGGATTCTTACTATTTATGAGGACTCAGTGCTAAAGGTAAATATTGTTAAGAGTATCATTTATTTATGATATCATCCTTAGTGCAGCCTCATCATCACATCCCATAAAATTACAATACTGCATCCACTCTTCTTTCTTCCAGCAAGAGAACGGGCAGCCGGTTAAAACTGTCACTGTGGGAAATGTCAACACGCCCGTCTTGTGTTTGGGACAGTCGGTGCATTCACTGGACAGCAGGTGTGTGTGGGCCGGCTGCGGGAACAAGATCCTCTCCTTTACTGCTGACTACGACGTCTGCAAGTCCATCGACACAAGACCCAGCCTCCTCTTCCAGTGAGTCCATGTTATGTAGGGAAATGAGAGGCAGCATGAGGTTGAAATGTAGGGTGCAGACATTAGAAGTATTTGGTTTAGAGGGGTTCTTTGTGTTGAATTAAAGAAATTTGCACTAAAAGAAACATTGCTGTTGGTGTCATAAAACTGACTCATGGGTCTTGGCAAAAGACGAGCGGAGTCAGGTGTGTTTAATATGTATCATCAGGGGTGAATGTGTGGGTGTATGCAGAGAGAGAGAGAGAGAGAGAGAGAGAGAGAGACCAAGGGGCTCCAGATCTAGCAGGGTATGATGACAACCTCTTGGTACCTCAAAGAAAGGATATGAACATGAGCACATCAGACAAACACACACACATTTTAAGCATACATTACATCTTTACAAGATAAGAGTTTTCTTTTCTTCATTGGTAGAGTTATAAAGTTTTTTTTTGTGTGTGTGTTTGCCCTCTTTCAGGCAGCGGCCATTGAGCGGTGACTCGTGTGTGTCTCGAATGGTTGTGGATAAAAACATTTACCTGAGCAAAGCCGGGTCACCGACTGTCGAGGTTTGGGATAAAAGGAGTGACAGGATGGTGGACTGCATCGACTGTGCTCAGATCATCAGGTAACAGAAAGAACAGAAATGAATTATTTTCACATTTTATGAGGATTCAGTGGCTCTGATATGTGTAATTAAGCAGTTACCTGTTTGTAAATTAAAGGGTGATTCCACATTTTATACTTCAGTTTGCATTGACTTATATATGCTTGCATATGTACTTCTATATATCTTTTTATACTTCCATCGATCCATTATCTATACCTGCTCGTGGCAGTGGGGTTGCTGGAGCCGATCCCAGCTGTAATTGGTCAAGAGACAGGGTTCACCCTGGAGTGTTTACAAGTCAATCACAGGGCTGACATATAGACAAACAGCCACATTCACATTCACACCTACGGGCAATTTAGAGTCACCAATTAACCTAATGAGCGTGTCTTTGGACTGTGGGAGGAAGCCGGAGTACCCGGAGAGAACCCACAAATGCACAAGGAGAACATGCAAACTCCACACAGAGAGGCTCCTGTCTGATGAGGAATCGAAACAGAAACCTCCTCACTGTGAGGCAACAGCGCTAACCACTTACACCACCGTGCATCTCCTATCTAGACTTACTATATATTTTAAGTTATTGTATTTGATAATTTTATGTTGCCTCTAGAAATGAAGAACAAAACATTAAATCTTAAATTAAATCAGAATGTGTTGTATTTTGCATTTTTTTACATTTTAAAAATCAAATCCCTCTCTGAATACCCAAATATTCAGGTAGTTATCTTTGTTTATTTATTGACTGATTTTCCCAACTCTGTCTTTATTTTTACAATGTAAACTCGGCACCAAGCACACAAAATCGAGCATCATCTTGTTGCCTTAACTATGAATGTGTACGTCTTTCTAATATAATTCACTGTAGTTCAATAAAGTCCTACAGCCCTGCAGAGTGTTACATTTTGGCGTTATAGGTGTTGTTTATATAATTCAGCTGCGTGTTACTGCCTCTTCTCTCTGCAGACACGACTCTGGCTGCAGAGGCAGGCAGGGCAGCGAGGTGGAGCTGCCCACTGAGGCGTCTCCCTCCTGGGCCCGGGTGAAGGCCCTGCTGGTGCAGAGCGCTGCACATCTCTGGATCGGCACTAGAGGGGGCCACCTGCTGCTGCTGGAGCTCTCCAAACACCAGACGCTGCAGGTCATCGCCCCCAGCTGCGATTCCATCCGCTGCATAGCCTCTGCACTCATAGGTCAGTGATTAAGTTTAAGTTAACATTTCTGAATGTATTTATTCTGGTTTATGTGGATGACAATCCAGCAGTGTGTCACCAGTGTATGACCTGAAAATATGATGTCATGTTGTCTGAATGTACACCATGTTGTTTTGTTTTGATAAAACTTGCCTTTAAAATAATCTTATTTATTTATTTATTTATGTTCAGGCTTTTTATGCTTTTATCTAGAGATAGGACAGTGGATAGAGTCAGTAATGGGAGAGAGAGAGATAGAGAGTGGGGAATTAAATGCAGGAAAGAAGCCGAAGGTTGGATTTGAACCCTGGTCGCCTGCTTGGAGGACTAAAGCCTCCGTGGGGTGCACACACTGAACAGCAGGCTACCTCGTCCCCAATAATCTAAATTTTTAAACACCACCTTCCCAAAATCTGCATTTTAAAAAAAAAATGAAACTGTTACAGCATATATATTCAGTATATATTGTGATTTATTCCTTGTTTTGGCCTGACATGAAGCTACTCTGATTCTTATTCTACATAAATATATATCTATGTCCTTTGCTGTCATTATTTTCGAGTGAACATGCTGTGTCTGAATAAACGGATAATGATTGCTATCGCTCATCACAGAAACACTGAACTGGAAGAATGTGGTGCTGGTTTTGGGCAGAAGACTCCCACAGGACAAGAATCAGTTCGGTGAGTGTGTGATGGTTTATTATCTGTCCCACATCTGGCTCTGTTGGGTTCTCCACGTTGGTCTCACGTGTGACGTTGTCTGTGGTCTCAGATGAGGAGTCGGTGCTGATGGTGTGGAACAGCACGCTGCCGATGGAGGTCAAAGACCTGAGAAAACACTGTGAGAAGAGAGAGCAGATCGCTGCCAAAATGAGAGAACAGCTGCATCCTGACTGAGCCCACACGCGTGAATGTACGTAGAAATGCTTGACTTTACAAACTATGGTGATGTTCTAGTTTTTCGTCTAATTATGCAGCACAACAAGCCCTATCAATAAATCTGGCAGATTTGATTGTGTTTAGAGTGATTTTCACTCCCGGTCACTATAATGCAAATACAACTGTCAGTGTCATACCATCACGTTTGCAGCATCTTCTTTGCATTTGTTTCCCTCATGTATATCTCTCGCTCTGTTGTGTTACTTACATTTATGGAGCACTTCTTTTGAGCAATTTTGTTACCAGAATCAAGGCCGTCGATAATGTGGGAAACAGGGGAAAGCTTTCTGGGGCCCAGTCGCATGGGGAGGGCGTATTGAGGTTAGCAAAAACACGGTGCATCCTAATCTTAAACAACCATGACCAAATTTTATATTACGCCCAAATACTCGCTATTACCTCATAACACAACAAAAACAATCATTTTATTTATTGTTGAATCAGTAAATGTAGCCTGATATAAGCTTATTTTGGAGGGGTAATGTCGCCAACGTTAGCGTGCCCAGAGGGAGCTAATGTTAACACTACTGATAGGATGTGCATACATTGATTTATATCATATTCTGGAAGTTGCCAGAATCTCCTTCAGGATTTTTAAAGCTCTATTTTGTCTGATCAGTATATCCCGACAAAGACATGATACTGAACGATTAATGGTTAGTAGGAACAGAAGTAGAAGTCGTAGCTTGTCCTCGTGATTGCGTAGTAATATCGGTAACATTTGTCCTTCAATTGTTTTTTACAGACTGTTCATTGAAAAGGGATCAACGCTTCAGTGGAAGTGTCTGCGGGTGACTTACTTCATTTTCTGACAGCCATATGAACTTTCTTTTGCACTGACCCTGAAAGACAGAGAACCTAATGAGGCGAGCACATCGCAAAGAAACAATCAAAAGAATTCAGTGTATCAGGATTATCCAAACGACAACGATCTTGATTACAATCGATCTGATTTATGAAGAGACATTTCTCTAAAAGGGACACAGATGGTCTCATTTGTGCGTGAGCAGTGCAGATGTACAGTAAGACCTCCTGACTCCTAATGAATGTTTGTTTACTCGTGCTATAAAAGAGAAAACAAACATAAAACTGGAAAGAAAGCCAAAGGAAAAAAATCTTTTTTTAAATTGTACATTTGATTATTTATTCTTTACTTGAGCGCACGTTCACTCCACAGCTGAACAAGAAGGATGTCTCAGATGCTGCCTGCTTTTTACACAACTTGTATGTAAACTGTTTGTGATGGAGAGTAAATATTATTTTATGTTCTGTGATGGATGTTCATTTTGTTTCAGTGCATTATTTACAAAAAAGAAAGTGGAGACTGGATAAAAGACGTTATTTTGTGAAAGTGAAAGTTTCAGCTTTTTTCTTACATGTACGTCTTATAGTCATGTCTACATTTCTTTACCTTACTTGTAATTATTTTGTTTTGGATCATTTACTTAATAATATATTTTAATATAAAAAGTATTATCGGTCAGGGGGCGTCATGCAAGCCACAATTCTGGGGGGGGGCTAAGTTAGATTGAGGTCGAGAGGTCCTCTGAAGAAAAAGTGAAGCACATTTATAATCAAAAGGCAAAATGCTTATTATTTTTTGATCAGTCTGAGGAAACCAAAGTTAGATACACTTTTTAAGATTTTGGTTGAAATGGTCTTTAGGTCCTGACAGACATTAATACCTCTTGTGCTCTGAAAAAGGAACAAAGAAAATCCATCATCTGTAGCTGTTGTAAGCCTGTAAAAACTTTGACCAATGTCTGCCACGAGGTACCAATCTGATGCACCAATCAGGCCTCCCTGTCTCTCTGCTCGATCTCTACCGCTTCCATGCACCAGCCCACACTCAAAGCACATCACCGATGACAGAGTTTATACTGAGTTTGTCATTAGCCGTTGTGAGTAGTTAAATAATCAGTTGTTTTTTTTACATGTATGATGAAGTTTAGAATTTACTTACTAATGAGACATGAGACGACATCATTTCTACACAATGCAAGCGCTAGGCTGCATGTAAGAGAGGGGTGTGGCTTTAGACGGAGCACTGAGGGAATGCTAATTTCAAAATCATGCTCGTTTTTGAAAATGACCAACCCTGCCTTTAAATCATGCAGAATTCCTCACGTCCTAATTGCTCATTTTTTCATCGCTTTACGTAGCAGATTTCTTCCATACTTGAAATAATATTTACCGCTACTTTTTTAAAAATTATTAATAATAAGATGAGAACAATCCTGTCAGAGTTTGAATGAGCATGACGCCTCTGTTACCCATAATGCATTTAATGAACAATCTGCCATGTGGCCAGCGAAAAGACCACCACCAAACAACAAATGACACACATGACTTTCAGGGTCTGGACCATATTTGATCTTTAATCTTGACGGGAAAAAAAGACATTGCATCTGAAGCCATTTCATGGAAAAAAATATTTACAGGAAGGACTCGGTCCTCACAAACATAGACAGCACATTAGTAAAAAACAAAGACGTGAGAGTTAAGGATTTGCAGTACCTCTGAACCTTAAAAACATGATGTTCTGATATCCAAACTATCAAGATAAATATATTTATAATATTTATATTGTATTTACAGAATACCTTAAATATACAACATCTGTCATGTATTCTATAAACAAATATAAACTACTTAGGCACACTTTAGTCGCAGACAATCACGGGAGGGATTTTCAAAGGCCATCCTTTTGCTGTTTGAACTCGGTTCACTTCAACTTTCTTGCATCATTACGCTATCCGGAGCGGCTACACTGCTAATAATCTCAGTACTTGTTGGCCAGCAGTAAGGTTAGTCATAGTGTACACAAGTTACCATTTTACACAGCAGGACTTGAGGCTGGCGTGATTTACACTTCCCATAGACACAGTTTTAGTCCCAAGTCTCGCCTCTAACCACCTTAACCCTCTTGTTTGCTTTCTTCTTTGCTGATTTTTTTGTTCAAGTAGGCCCGGTGGTGGGTCCACCTTATTGCTTACACCTTATCTGCAAAGGGGCGGGGTCAAACATTTGAGGGAGAAGGAGCTAGAGGAGAGTTTGGGACACAGCCAAGCAAAGGAGAGAAGGGTAAGACGAGGATGACATTTATTCCCACACTTTCTTTTTTTTTTTCGTTTCTGTAGACAGTCAGCTAAGGTTCAGAGATGACAAAAAAAGGTAGCAGCTACGATATCTACAAGGAATATACAGTACAAGTGAAATATACATCAATGTTATAGCCAACTAAACGCACGCAGAGGGGGTGGAGGGGGAGGAAAGGCCAGTTTGGCAGGGCTTATTTTACAGTCAGTCTATAAGTCCGACTCGGGAATATCCGGCATATCGGCCATCAGGTAACCAATACCATAACGGCCGTTTGGAGCGGTGTCGGCGTCAGGACCGCCACCGTTGCTCTGCTTGCGGTAGATGCTGTTCCCAGGCATCGGTGATGGGGCCTCGCTGGGTGACTTGCCTTGGATCAGGCTGGCGTCGTCGTCCTCCCCCGGCCGGGCGCTCTCCTTGATGATGCGGCCCTTCTTGTAGGAGACAGTGGAGAGTCCGCTAGTGTTCTCGTCGATGATGTTGAAGTAGCGCAGGCCGAAGACCACGGGCACGGGCATGATGGCCATCACCACCAGGGAGATGCAGACCACGATGCCCCATGGAGGGAAAATCATGCTCTGCTCCTTGGCCTGGAGGACAAAAAAAAAAAAAAAAAGAACAAGTGGGTAAGTGGGTTTAAATGTGCCAAATGTTTTTGTTTTTTTTTCTCAGTGCTGATTATAGTTGGCAGTAGAACAGCTTAAATGGCAGGAATGCAGGCCTGAAGTATTTACAGTATTAAGTAGGGCTGGTTAGCCCCTCAGGTTGTGACTCACATCATCTTGTGATCAGTTTATTCAGTAGATGCTGGTTTATACAAAAGCCTACTTCATGGACTATAAAGAATTTTATGTCAAATCACACTTTTGCTCATTTCCTTCAAGGCTTACGTTGTCTTTTTTAAGTCTATACATTTCTTTGTCTCCAACACAAGTAGGCTTACATTCTCAAGTTCAGTTTTATACTGGAGTTTTATTCTGCTTTTCACTTTCAAATATAAATATAAATTGGTTGTAGATTTTAAGTTGGAATTTAAAAGTAATACAAATATGGCAACCTTGTAGAAATGGCAATGCTCATTTCATAAATGTTTTGTTATTATGTTTTTTAGAGAATAATACCAGTTCCAAAAAACAGTTGTGACACTGTGAATTAAAAAAAAAAGTTCTCCTCATTCTTGTTGAAACATATTTAATTCAAACAGGATAGAGAAAAGTGTACTTCTTTAAGATTCAAACTTAAAAACGTTCACGTTTGGCTCTCATGCTGAATTTGATGACTGCTAAGTTTGACAGTGTCCAAGCATTACGTTGGATATTGTAAGCAGTGTTTTTACACATCTAATTTTTTAAATGATAACTGAAATGACCGCAGCCCTGATTTCACCACTTCTTCTCAGGAGTCTACTTGAACGCATTAAGAGTCTGCACTTCAAGAAAAACAATGATAAATCATTAAATGAATCCATCTCACAGTGCGGATTAGTTCAGCTGCAGTTAAACTTCATTAGCTGCTCTGGTGTGCCGAGAAGTGTGAGCCCCACTGTACTCTCAACAAGTACATGCATGCAAAATGTGTTCCTCTGGTCTGAACCTTTTAAATGACCAGCCTCTCTAATCTTAAAGGTGCCTGTATCATTTCTACGGTGGCCCTCGATCCTATTGTTAGTCTAAAGAATAAAGATGCATGCATGTTTGTTTATCATCCATTTTTAGCCACTGCATCATCACTTTGAACCCTTTAATTGGCTTTGTACTTGTTTCTGGTTTTGTAACAAGTGAGACAACTTCCACCCCCATTGAACCCTGGTCCAAGGAGACAGCGGGCCAGAGCTGTTACTCACCTCCTCCTGTATCCAGGCACTGTAACTGGGTGGCGTCATAGCCAGCTGGACGAAGCTGGAGCCCAGGAGAACCAGAAGCAGGATGGGTGTGATGTACTTCCACATGTAGTAGTAGAAACGGTACGGCGTAAAGCCCAGCATGTCCTTCAGGTCTTCAAAGAACCTGAAGGGAGTGGTGGAGAGGCAAGGGGGGGGGGGAACAGAGAGCGACACAGCAAGAGGTGAGATCAGATGTTTGTGGTGAAGAATTCATTATTGCTTCATAATTTTTCTTCATAACCCCGATGGCCTTTTTATGCTATTTATACAGCTTTTATGTAATTGTCTCATTCAAACAAAGTACAAAAGGAATGGTTCCAAAAATAGTTGCCTTCAGGAACAGTTACAACATGTAGTGTATGAAACTACCATAAGTTCAGACTGTTAGGCTATGCAAGGTCATACCAAGTAAGTTTGCATTAAATATATAATACAAATTATAAAAGATTATTAACATATAAATAATAAAAAGATATATAAATTAAGATTTGAATAAACTGTCAATGAATGCAGACTTTAATCCTCATGGATTCATTTTTGTTCATTTACAAAAAGCCAAATTATACTATTCTTAATTGTGAATGACGCAATATTTCCTGTATAGGTTCTTCTTTTCTTATTATGTGCAACATTTTAAATATGAAGATAATAATGTGGTCACCTTAAAAATCCAGTTAATTCAAGTTCTTTTGCTACAAGTTTTGTGCTTCAAATAATGTGTTATTCAGACAAAAAATGTCAATATGCTGACGATTATGTGGTGTACTTACTTATCGATCCCGTAAACCCAAGCGACCGCCACGTTCTCCAGTACCACCACTATGAGCAGTGGCAAAGTAGCCGAGTAGTCGTCAAACATGGCCACAAAGTAGTTCCCTGAGCGCTGAACGAACAGGAGCCCAATGGAGAAGGCCAACACGCAGCATCCCACTGCAAGAGAGGAGCAGGTTAGTTACTGTGCATACTGGAAGATGTGTTATAGTAACTGTGAGATGTGCAGGTCTATATTTAAAGTTAGAGAAGAAGTCTGAGTAGAGTGGGACCAATATAACAACCAGTGAGACAGCCTGCATCTGTAGAGTGATCATTTATCAAACCTGTTTTATTGTTTCTCCCAGTGGCTATTTTTCTCTAACTATTTTGTGATGTATTTTATTCCGTCTACTCCTTTCTTTAAGGGAGGAGCTTACTTTTGGATTCATATGGTATTTTTTTGGTTCAGCATGTAAGAAAAAGGGTTAGATTTTCTTAGTTTCAGTTCCTGGGAGTCAATTGGTATCAAGTAGCAGCAGCTGTGCATTCAAAAATAATAAAATACCTACAGTATAAGACTTTGTGTTGAGATTTAAACATAACATTAAAATAAATCA